ATAATAAATAGGGACTGGGTGCAGTGGCTCACACCTGTAATCCCAGCACTTAGGGAGGCTGAGGCAGGAGGATTGCTGGAGCCCAGGAGTTCAAGACCAGCTTGGCCAGCAGAGTGAGACCCTGTCTCTACAAAAGACAAACAGAGGCCGGGCGCGGTGGCTCAAGCCTGTAATCCCAGCACTTTGGGAGGCCGAGGCGGGCGGATCACGAGGTCAGGAGTTCGAGACCAGCCTGTCCAACATGGTGAAACCCCGTCTCTACCAAAAATACAAACAACTAGCTGGGCGTGGTGGCGCGTGCCTGTAATCCCAGCTACTTAAGAGGCTGAGGCAGGAGAATTGCCTGAACCCAGGAGGCGGAGGTTGCGGTGAGCCGAGATCGCGCCATTACACTCCAGCCTGAGTGACAAGAGTGAAACTCCGTCTCAAAAAAAAAAAAAAAAAAAAAGACAAACAGATTAGCTAGGCATGGTGGCATGTGCCTGTAGTCTCAGCGAGTCAGAAGGCCGAGGTGGGAGGATCACTTGAGCCCAGGTCAAGGCTGCAGTGAGCAATGATCATACCATTGCACTCCAGCCTGGGCAACGCAAAGACACCAACTCAAAAAAAAAAAAAAAAAAAAGAGAGAGAGAGAAAGAAAGAAACATGGTGTTAGGGTAGGGAGCGATGGGAGGCAGGTCAAGGTGTTAGGTGGCCCTTCCAGGGAAGGCCAAGAGGCGTTCAGGTCTCAGATTGGGGGTTCACATCTCAGGCCAAATGCCCCTCCTCATCAAAGCCCTTCCTGACCTCCCAGGCGAGGTGGTAGCCTAGTGCTGATATCCTAACAACTCACCAGTTCCTTTTCTGACACTGATCATAATGACCTTGAAATAAACATAGGATTGGCTGCTTGCTGTCAGTTTCAGTTTCCTTCCTACAGCAGAAGGAAAGGCCCCCTGGCAGTGGCTCTAGGCCCTCAGTCAATATTTGTGAAAGGCAGAAAACGTGCTGATTACGTGATTTCTAACCAGCTTCCGAATTCCATACTTCTAATCAGAGCAATACCCCGGGGACAAATTTTACCCAGACGAGAAATCCTTACACTCTAGCTATATCCAGGAAATGTTTTCTTGGTACACATTGTGCCTCCCAATATTGAAAATGCAAACAAAGTGTTCGCTTTGGCAGTGCACAGACTAAAACTGGAACGATCCAGAGAAGATGAGCAGGGCCCCTAATTTTAAAAATGCTAACGACAATGTTAGAAAAACTAAAAATGGGATGGAACACTGCAGTGCCTGAGAGGAAACAATTATTAAAATGATAGCAAAACCATTCAAAAACAAAAAATAGCTGGGTGTGGTGGCTCATGCCTATAATCGCGGCACTATGGGAGGCCGAGTTGGGTGGACACTTGAGACCAGGAGTTCGAGACCACCTTGGCCAACATGGTGAAACCCCGTTTCTACTAAAAATACAAAAATTAGACATGTGCCTGTAATCCCAGCTACTCTGGTGGCTGAGGCAGGAAAATCACTTGAACCCAGGAGGCGGAGGTTGCAGTGAGCCAAGATCGTGCCACTGCACTCCAGCCTGGGTGACAGAGTGAGACTTCATCTCAATAAATAAATACTAAAAACAAAAATAAAAATTACAAAGAAATCCACTTGAAAACAAATAATAAATTTTCTTTTTTTTATAGAGATGGGGTCTTGCTACATTTGCCCAGGCTGGGCTCAACCTCCCGGCCTCAAGCAATCCTGCTGCCTGGGCCTTATAAAGTGCTGAGATTATAGGCGTGAGCCACCAAGCCCCGCCTAAGATAATGCATTTTAAAAATTCAACGTAAACAAGGCAAACGGCATGGAGTACGAATGACATTCTGGGACAATGGAGGCTGGAGTGGGCAGGGGGAAAACAGGGCTATCTTAAGTCCTGATCTCCGCACGCTTTTCAGCCTCCCTTCCTGTGACATCACTCAGGAAGCGAGCTAATGGTGCAAGTGAAGGTGTCACTCAAACCTAGCGGCATTGCCTGACCTCTCTGACCATTTGATCAGAAGTCTCTGGATCTGGTGAAAGAGGATTTGGGTTTCAATTTTATTTCCCTTCTACATTCTTCCTCTTTGTGTATAACTACCTTGCCCTCTTGTCATGACCGTCTGGGAGCTTGGCCTCAGCATGTGTTTAATTTCCTGGGATTTCACGGATTTGCTGGGAGGAATTCTCCGTGGCTAGTCTTTGCCCTTTCACAAGAGCCTGTGGTTTCCCCAGCACTCCCTGATTCCCCAACATTGGGACCGTTTGGTCCCAGGGGAGTGCATGGAGTGTTTAAGCTCTGAGCTCTGTTTGGGCCCAAGTCCAACGGGTCACAAAAGGCTCAGTCTAAAAAAAAGAAAAATGTCCTGACAGAGCAGCTCTGCCCTAAAAGTCACCTCATCTGTCGTTCTCCCGGCATTCCAACCACATCAGTTAGAAGAGAGTCCTGGCAGCGCTAAAAGGCCTCTTGTAGAGTGGGGTTTTTGGAGAACCATGAAAGGAACTGTGTTCTGCATTTACTAAAGATGAGTTAAGTTTCTAAACTGTGTCATGTGATGGGACGGATATGAGTGATCACGGTGACAAGGAAAACGCGAACATTACCACACAGGAGCAATTCTATGGAAAAACCGCAGATATTTCAAGAAAAGTTTACATTTCAAGAGGAGTTTGTATTTTCCACTCTGGAAAAATAAAAGACCTGTGAATAATGATTAGAAAAACAGACAAGACAGCTCCATCAGTTTAAAAGGGGAATACAGGCCAATTTCAAGCATTTTTTCCAAATTATATGCAAAGAAAAACACTGTGTAAGTTCTGAATCTGTAGACTTTTAATACTTGCTATCATTAAAACAAACTGCTTGGCCAAGGGGGATGGCTCATGCCTGTGATCCCAGCACTTAGGGAGGCTGAGGCAAGCGGATCACTTGAGGTCAGGAGTTTGAGACCAACCAGGTCAACATGGTGAAACCCCGTCTCTACTAAAAATACAAATACTAGCCAGGTGTAGAGGTACATGCCTGTAGTCCCAGATACTCGGGAGGCTGAGGCAGAATCATTTAAACCCTCGAGGTGGACATTGCAGTGAGCTGAGATCATGCCACGGTACTCCAGTCTGGGTTACAGAGTGAGACTATCTCAAAAACAAAACAAAACAAAAAAATGCTCAAATCACTTGTGAATCTGAAGTACCTACTTTCTTTTCTTCTTATTTTTTTATAAACAGGATCTTGGGTCCGGGCGCGGTGGCTCACGCCTGTAATCCCAGCACTTTGGGAGGCCGAGGCGGGTGGATCACGAGGTCAAGAGATGGAGACCATCCTGGTCAACAAGGTGAAACCCCCGTCTCTACTAAAAATGCAAAAATTAGCCGGGCATGGTGGTGTGCGCCTGTGATCCCAGCTGCTCAGGAGGCTGAGGCAGGAGAATTGCCTGAACCCAGGCGGCGGAGGTTGAGGCGAGCCAAGATCGCGCCATTGCACTCCAGCCTGGGTAACAAGAGCGAAACTCCATCTCAAAAAAAAAGAGAAAGAAAGAAAGAAAGAAAGAAAGAAACAGGATCTCACTCTGTCCACCCAGGGAATAGAATGCAGTGACTTGATAATGGTTCACTGTAGCTTCGCTCTCATGGGCTCCACTGATTCTCTTGCCTCAGCCTTCCAAGTAGCTGGGACTACTGGCACATACCACTACAACGTGAATTAAAAAAAAAAAAATTTTTTTTAAGATGGGGTTTCACCAAGATGGCCAGGCTGGTCTTGAACTCGTGACCTCAGGTGATCCACCCACCTTGGCCTCCCAAAGTGCTAGGATTACAGGCGTGAGCCACCACACCCGGCCAAAATTTTTTTTAGAGATGGGGTCTCACTGTGTTGCTCAGGCCGGTCTCACACTCCTGGGCTGGAGGGATCCTGGGCTGGAGGGATCCTGGGCTCGAGGGATTCCCCCCCACATTCCCCCCCGCCCCGACCTCAGCCTCCCAAAGTTCTGGGATCATTGCTGATTACTGTGACATTTTCGGCTGTGGGAGGAAAGATGAGATAGAATGCTAAAATAAGAATGCTCAAAACACTTGCAAGGTTCAAGTATTTATTTTTCTTTTCTTTTCTTGAGACAGTGTCTTGCTCTACAAACCAGGCTGGAGTGCAGTGGTGTGATCATAGCTCACTGCAGCCTCCACCTCCTGGGTTCAAGCAATCCTCCGCCTCCACCTCCTGAGTAGCTGGAACTGCAGGTACGTGCCACCAGGCCCGGTTAATTTTTTTTATTTGTATTTTTGCAGAGACGGGGGGGGGAAGGGGGGACGAGGGGGGTCTCACTATGTTGCCCAGGCTGGTCTCGAACTCCTGGGCTCAATCGCTCCTCCGGTCTCTGTTCCGCGAAGTGCTGGGATTACAGGGGTCAGCCACTGCGCCTGGCCTTGAATCCCCATCCTCCTGGAATGAACACTGCATCTCCTCTGACAAAGGGACGGTTTCGGTTTCCTCTTCGGCAAAATGGGGTGGGGGTGGGAATTCCCATTTGCAGCTGAGAATTCCCTGGTAATAAGCCTCGAGTGCCGAAGGCCGTTGGGGTGCAGGAACCCACCCAGCGGGAGCAGCTCACGGCGACATTCGGAGCCATCTGGAAAAGTAGGCACGGGGAGCCCCAGACGTCCTCCCCAGACCCCGCTGCCCAGCAGGGCCAGGAGGCTGGCGTCGTCCGCGTCCCGGCATCCAAGCCTGCGTTTGGCCGCAACGCCCCCAGGCCCTGCTCCTCCCACGCCGCCGTGGAGCGGATCTTCCATACAAACGTCCGCTTCGACAGCGACCTGCTTTCTCGGAAGGCGTCGCGGTCAGATCTCGCCTTCCCGCCGCTCCCAGGCCGGACGCCAGGTCTCCAGTAGCAACCGCGGCCTCCAGCGATGGCCGCCCGGGCACGGCCGGAACCCTCTGCGCAGGCGCGGAGAGGCGCAGGCACGCGGCTTCCGCTCGCGCACGGCGGAAGGCAGGGGGCGGGGCTTGCGTGATGACGTCCCGGGACGGGCGTTCGGGTGGCGGGAAGAGGAGACGCGAGAATGGAGGTGGAGGCCGGAGATGGTGGCGCGGACGAGCGGGACGACCAGGACCCTGCCCCTGCCTCCAGCAAGGCCCCTGGGAGCGCCGGCCACTATGAGCTGCCGTGGTGAGGCCCCAGGCCGCGAGGAATGGGCGCGTTTGGATGTGAGGGTGGGCGAGTGGCGGGCCGTGCTCCGAAGAAACTCGGGGGCCATGGGCTTGTTCTGGAGGATTCCGAGGGAGGAAGAGGCCGCAGGTGGTCGGTCTAAACTCTGCGAGCCGAGTCTCGCTCACAGCAAAGCTTATGACGATTAGGGCTACCCCGGGTGGCCACCTGCTCTGACCTAGTTGGTTTTTCAAAAATTTTGGTGCTTAGTAGTGTATGATGACCTAGTGTTTTTAAAAACCTCAGGCTGTTAAAAAAATACTGATTACATGCGGAAAATAATATTTTGACTACTAGGTTCAGTAACATTTACATTTAAAAATTTAAAAGGCGAGACCCGGATCTTGCAGTGTTGCCCAGGCTGGTGCCCAACTCATTGGCTCTAGTGATCCTCCTGCCTCAGTCTCCCAAGTAGGTGGGACTGCAGGCATGCACTACCAAGCCTGGCTAATTTTTTTTTTTTTGAAATGGAGTCACATTCTGTCGACCAGGCTGGAATGCAGTTGAACCTGGATTCAAGCGATTCTCCTGCCTTAGACGCCCTAGTAGCTGGGATTCCAGGCGTGAGCCACCACACACCCTGCTAATTTTTGTATTTTTAGTGGAGACGGGGTTTCACCGTGTTGGCCAGGCTCTTCTGGAACTCCTGACCTCAACTGATCCACGCACCTTGGCCTCCCAAAGTGATTACAGGCGTGAGCCACCGTACCTGGCCTAGGCCTGGGGTTTTTGTCTAGCCAGCCATGTACTTGGTTCATGTCTGCAGAAACTGGCAGGTAAGGGATGAGAAAGGGGCTTGGTTGCACCCACGTTGTCATACCAAATGATGTCAGCGCTGTGTGGTGGGCCTCTTGTGACACGCAGATGGGGTTGTGGCACGGTGTCACATTGATCCAGATGGCCTACGCTGGCCCTGCTCCAGCAGCAACAGGTGTTTTTCTGTTGTGGCAGGTTTGAAGCCTTTGCTATGCAATTCTCACGGCCTTAACTTTTTTTTTTTTTTTTTTTTGAGATGGAGTCTCACCCTGTTGCCCAGGCTGGAGTGCAGTGGCACAATCTCAGCTAACTGTAACCTCCACCTCCCAGGTTCAAGCGATTTTCCTGCCTCGTCTTCCAAGTAGCTGGGATTACAGGCACCTGCTATCATGCCCAGCTAATTTTTTTTTTAATTTTTTTTTTTTATAATAAAAATAAAGAAGAGGAAGAACGAGAAAGAGAAAGGGAGAGAGGATGGGGGTATTGCTTTATTGCCCGGGCTAGAATGCAGTCTAAATATGGGTATGCCTATAATTGTCCTTAATAATGGAGACATAAAAAAATGAGGGAAGAGAGTAACAAACAAGGAGCCAACCAACATTTCGTTTAAACTTCTTTTTTTTTTTTTGGAGACGGAGTTTCGCTCTTGTTACCCAGGTTGGAGTGTAATGGCGCGATCTCGGCTCACCGCAACCTCCGCCTCCTGGGTTCAGGCAATTCTCCTGCCTCAGCCTCCTGAGTAGCTGGGATTACAGGCACGCACCACTATGCCCAGCTAATTTTTTGTATTTTTAGTAGAGACGGGGTTTCACCATGTTGACCAGGATGGTCTCGATCTCTTGACCTCGTGATCCACCCGCCTCGGCCTCCCAAAGTGCTGGGATTACAGGCTTGAGCCACCGCGCCCGGCCTCGTTTAAACTTCTAAGTTGATATGATGCGGTACTGATAAGAGTGTATACCCTGTGTATTTAAAGTGGAGAGTTCTATAAATGTTAATTACGTTTACTTGTTCCAGATCTGAGTTCAAGTCCTGGATATCGTTGTTAATTTTCTGTCTCATTGATCTGTCTAATATTAATGTTGAAGTCTCCCGCTATTATTGTGTGGGAGTCTAAGTCTCTTTATTAGTCTTGTATGTCTGGGTATTCCTGTATTGGGTGCATATATATTTAGGATCTTTAGCTCTTCTTGTTGTTGCATTGATCCTTTTATCATTATTGAATGTCCTTCTTTGCTTCTTTGGATCTTTGTTGCTTTAACGACTATTTTATCAGAGGCAAAAATTGTAATTTCTGCTTTTTATTTATTTTAGCTCTCTGTTTGGTTGGTAAATCTTTCTCCATCCCTTTTTTTGAGTCTTTGTGTATCCTTGAATGTGAGATGGGTCTGGACGCAGCATACTGATGGGTTTTAGTTTTTTATTCAAATTGCCTGTCTGTCTTTGGATTGGGGGATTTAGTCAAGTTAAATTTAGAATTAATAATGATAGGCCGGGCGCGGTGGCTTAAGCCTGTAATCCCAGCACTTTGGGAGGCCGAGGCGGGCGGATCACAAGGTCAAGAGATCGAGACCATCCTGGTCAACATGGTGAAACCCCGTCTCTACTAAAAATACAAAAAAAAAATTAGCTGGGCATGGTGGCGCGTGCCTGTAATCCCAGCTACTCAGGAGGCTGAGGCAGGAGAATTGCCTGAACCCAGGAGGCGGAGGTTGCGGTGAGCCAAGATCGCACCATTGCACTCCAGCCTGGGTAACAAGAGTGAAACTCCGTCTCAAAAAAAAAAAAAAAAAAAAAAATTAATAATGATATATGTGAGTTTAATACCATTTAATATTAGCTGGCTATTTTGCCCATTAGTTGATGTAAATTCTTCATTATATTGATATTCTTTACTTTTTGGTATTATTTAGAAAGGCTGATACTGTTTGTTCCTTTCTATGTGTAGTGGTTCTTTCAGAAGCTCTTGCAAAGCAGGCCTGGTGGTGATGAAATCTCTGAGTGCTTGCTTATTCACAAAAAAACTTTATTTTTCCTTCACTTGTGAAGCTTAGTTTGGCAGGATGTGAAATTCTGGGTTGAAAGTTCTTTTCTTTAAGGATATTGAATATTGGTCCCCACTCTCTTCTGGCTTGTAGGGTTTCTGCTGAGAGATCTGCTGTAAGTCTGATAGGCTTCCCTTTGTGGGTAACCTGACCTTTCTCTCTGGCTGCCCTTAGTATTTTCTCCTTTATTTCAACCCTGTTGAATCTGACGATTATGTGCCTTGGGGTTGCTCTTCTTGAGGAATATCTTTGTGGTCTTCTCTGTATTACCTGGAGTTGAATATTATCCTGCCTTACTAGGTTGGGAAAATTTTCCTGAATAACATCCTGAAGTGTATTTTCCAGCTTGGATTCATTCTCTTCGTCACGTTCAGGTATACCTATCAAGCGTAGATTAGGTCTTTTCACATAGTCCCATATTTCTTGGAGACTTTGCTCGTTCCTTTTTATCCTTTTTTCTCTAATCTTGTCTTCTTGTTTTATTTCATTGAGTTGGTCTTCGACCTCTGATATCCTTTCTTCTGCTTGATCAATTCGGCTGTTAAAACTCGTGCATACTTCACGTAGTTCTCGTATTGTGTTTTTCAGCTCCGTCAATTCACTTATTTTCCTCTCAAAATTGTGTATTCTTATTAACATTTCGTCAAACCTTTTTTCAAAGTTCTTAGTTTCTTTGGATTGTATTAGAACAAGTTCTTTTAATTCACAGAAGTTTCTTATTATCCACATTTTGAAGCCTGCTTCTGTAATTGGAACACACTCGTTCTCCATCAAGCCTTGTTCTGTTGCTGATGAGGAACTGGGATCCCCTGCTGAGGGAGAGGCGTTCTGATCTTGGGTATTCTCAGCCTTTTTTGGCTGTTTTCTTCCCTTCGTTGTAGATGTATCCATCTGTGGTCTTTATAATTACCGTCTTTGTAATTGGGTTTCTGAGTGGACGTCCAACTTATTGATTCTCAGCGCCGAAATCTGAGCAACCCTCTGCGCCAGCTAAATCAGCAGCGTTAAGATTGATGGTGCTTTTCTGACTCTGCACCGAGAACCGACGCTCCGAGGCGCCGGCAAAACCGCCTCGCCTGTCACAAGAGTTGCGCTGGCGACCCATGGGGCTCCTCCACTGGGAATCTCCTGGTGCGTGAGCAACAAGAATTCATGTAAAGGTGTGGCGTCCTCTCGTTCTTTGCGCTTTCACTGGGAGCTACAATCCCAAGCTGCTAGTGATCAGCCATCTTGGATCTCTCTCAATTTTTGTTTTTTTTTTTTTTTTTTTTTTTTTTTTTGAGACAGAGTGTTGCTCTTGTTACCCAGGCTGGAGTGCAATGGCGTGATCTCGGCTCACCGCATCCTCCGCCTCCTGGGTTCAAGCAATTCTTCTGCCTCAGCCTCCTGAGTAGCTGGGATTACAGGCACGTGCCACCATGCCCAGCTAATTTTTTGCATTTTTAGTAGAGACGGGGTTTCACCACGTTGACCAGGATGGTCTCGATCTCACGACCTCGTGATCCACCCGCCTCGGCCTCCCAAAGTGCTGGGATTACAGGCTTGAGCCACCGCGCCCGGCCTAATTTTTGTATTTTTAATAGAGATGGGGTTTTGCCATGTTGGTCAGGCTGGTCTGGAACTCCTGACCTCGTAATCTGCCCACCTCAGCCTCCCAAAGTGCTGGGATTACAGGTGTGAGCCACCATGCCAGCCCCCCTTAAGTTCAAGTGGCACTTGGACATCTTATTACATTTTATTTGTTTATTTATTGAAACAGAGTCCTGCTCTGTTACCCAGGCTGGAGTGCAGTGGTGTGATCTCAGCTCACTGCAACCTGTGCCTCCTGGGTTCAAGCCATTCTCGTGCCTCAGCCTCCAGAAAAGCTGGGATTAGAGACACGCACCACCACGTTTGGCTAATTTTTGTATTTTTAGTAGAGATGGGGTTTCACCATGTTGGCCAGGCTGGTCTCGAACTCCTGACTTCAAGCAATCCACCTGCCTCAGCCTCCCAAAGTACTGGGATTACCATGCCGGGCTGTCATCTTACTACATTTAAAACCTGCAGCCATTTGGCATAGTTGTACTGAATGTATATAATTTTCCGACAAAGCTCTTGGGATGGCCTGTAAGTACTTTTTTGGGGGGTAGTGGAAGATAACCGTGTCAACATTTTTATGCATTTTCTTCATAGGGTTGAAAAATACAGGCCAGTAAAGCTGAATGAAATTGTCGGGAATGAAGACACCGTGAGCAGGCTAGAGGTTAGTGGCTTCTTATTTGTATTTATTTATTTATTTTTTGAGACAGAGACTTGCTCTGTTGTCAGGCTGGAGTGCAGTGGTGTGATCGGGGCTCACTGCAACTTCTGCCACCTGGGTTCAAGTGATTCTCCTGCCTTAGCCTCCTGAGTAGCTGGGACTACAGGCGCCCGCCACCACGCCCAGCTAATTTTTGTAGTTTTAGTAGAAAGGAGGTTTCACCATGTTAGCCAGGCTGGTCTCTGTCTCTTAACCTGGTGAACTGCCTGCCTCGGCCTCCCAGAGTACTGGGATTACAGGCATTAGCCATAGCACCAGGCCTTACTATTCTTATTTTTTTGAGACGGAATCTTGCTCTGTCACCAGGACTGGAGTACAGTGGCACAATCTTGGCTCACTGCAGCCTCCGCCTCCCAGGTACAAGCAGTCTTCTGCCTCAGCGTCCTGAGTAGCTGGGATTACAGTCGCCCGCCACCATGTCCTACTAATATGTGTGTATTTTTAGTAGAGACGGGATTTCACCATCTTGGCCAGGGTGGTCTTAAACTTCTGACCTTGTGATCCAACCACTTCAGCCTCCCAAAGTGCTGTGATTACAGGCATGAGCCATCAGGCCCAGCCAAGTGGCTTTTTAAAAGATTGTCTAAGGCTGGGTGCAGTGGCTCACACCTGTAATCCTAACACTTTGGGAGGCTAAGGCACGCAGATCACTTGAGACCAGGTGTTTGAGATCAGCCTGAGCAACACGGTGAAACCAGTCTCTATGAATTTAAAAATCAGCTGGGTGTGGTGGCACGTGCCTCTAGAGTCTGAGCTTCAAACCATGCATGGTGGCAAGTGCCTATAATCCCAGCTACTCAGTGGATGTCTTGAGCCCAGGGGTTTGACGCTGCAGTGAGCTATGATCATGCCACTGCACTCTAGCCTAGATGACAGAGCAAGACCCTTACTCTGAAAAACAAAGAGTTTGGGCTTCATAGTGAGGACAGAAAGGGGTCAAGGATTTCAGTAAAAATGTTTTTTCCTTTTTGAGACAGAGTTTCACTCTTGTTGCCCAGGCTGTAGCACAGTGGCACAATCCCGGCTCACTGCAATGTCAGCCTCCTGGGTTCAAGCAGTTCTCCCAGCTCAGCCTCCCAAGTAGCTGGGATTACAGGCATGCAAAACCACGCCCAGCAAATTTTTTATCTTAGGTAGAGACTGGGTTTCTCCATGTTGGTCATGGTGGTCCCGAAGTCCTGACCTCAGGTTATCCACCTGCCTTGGCCTCCCAAAGTGCTGGGATTACAGGTGTGAGCCACCATACCAGGAAAATGTTTTTTTTTTTTTTTTTTTTTTTTTTTTTTGAGACGGAGTTTCGCTCTTGTTACCCAGGCTTGAGTACAATGGTGCGATCTTGGCTCACCGCAGCCTCTGCCTCCTGGGTTCAGGCAATTCTCCTGCCTCAGCCTCCCGAGTAGCTGGGATTATAGGCACGCCCCACCATGCCCAGCTAATTTTTTGTATTTTTAGTAGAGATGGGGTTTCACCATGTTGACCAGGATGGTCTCCATCTCTTGACCTTGTGATCCACCCGCCTCGGCCTCCCAAAGTGCTGGGATTACAGGCTTGAGCCACCGTGCCCGGCCTCAGGAAAATGTTTTAATAGGTGTGTACTTCAGTAAGGTGGTTGTGGGTACAGGATGGGAAGTGGATTTGAATCGGGCAGGATTGGAAGCAAGGGGATGAGTTAATGGCCCATTATGGCAATCAGACAGATAATGGGCTTCAGAAAATGATAGCGGGGCTGGAGAGAAGTAAAGGGCCCTGGAGATGAGGAGGAGGATGAAGCCCTGGTAATGGAAGTATTCGGGGTGAGAATGAGGCCAAACCAAGATGATGGCGACCTCAGCTTCGGGGCTTGGACAGTCCACAATGGGAAACACGGGTGGGGCCTCAGGTTTGTACAGAAGAATGAAGTGTTGAGTTTTGAAGATGCCGGGGTGAGGACCTCAAAGAAAAAAAGAAGTGAGCGTTCCATGAGCCACCCAGTCCTCATGGAGAAATCTGTAGCCACGTTTGCTGTACAGGCTGTGTGGCTGGGGAGAGTCAGCTCCTAAAGCTTACAAATTAACCAGGTTTTGTGGGGTTTTTTCCTTTTTAAGACAGGATGTCACTCTTGCCCAGGCTGGCGTGTAGTGGTGCAATCACAGCCTCCTGAGTAGCTGGGAGTACAGGCGCACACCACTACACTTGACTAATTTTGCTTATTTTTGGGGGAGACAGGGACTCACTATGTTGCCAAAGCTGGCCTCTAACTCCTGGCCTCAAGTGATGCTCCTGCCTTGGCCTCCCAAAGTACTGGGATTACAGGCATGAGCCACTGTGCTCAGCCAAGTTTTAACCTGCGTGTTTACTCTTTTTTCTACAGTCATCCAGAAGCAAGTTTTAACCAGTTTTAATGATCATTTTCACTTTAGGTCTTTGCAAGGGAAGGGAATGTGCCCAACATCATCATTGCGGTGAGTACGCAGCCCTGGGCCTGTTGAGCGTGACAGTGTCTCCTCCTGCTGCCCAATGAAGTGCTTTCTTGTGCACAGTGTTCCGTCTGCAGACAGCCCCGCACCGTTCCCCGGGCAAAGGGAAGTGTTTCACTCAAGTCAGTTGGGAGGCCTGGAGTTGGTTGCTGTGTTTTTTTTGTTTTGTTTTATTTTTTTGATGGAGTCTTGCTCTGTCGCCGAGGCTGGAGTGGTGCAATGGCACGATCTTGGCTCACTGCAGCCTCCGCCTCCCAGGTTCAAGCGGTTCTCCTGCCTCAGCCTCCTGAGTAGCTGGGATTACAGGCATGCGCCACCATGCCCAGCTAATTTTTTGTGTTTTTAGTAAAGACGGGTTTCTTCATGTTGGTCATCTGGTCTTGAACTCCAGACCTCAGGTGATCTGCCTGTCTCCGCCTCCCAAAGTGCTGGGATTACAGGTGTGAGCCACTGTGCCTGGCCCTTTCTTTTGGAGACAGCCTTGCTCTGTCACCCAGGCTGGAGTGCAGTGGTGTGATCTCAGCTCACCTCAACCTCCACCTCCCGGGCTTCAAGTGATTCTCCCACCTCGGCTTCCCGAGTAGCTGGGACTACAGGGGCACGCCACCACACTCAGCTAATTTTTGCATTTTTTAGTAGAGATGGGGTTTTGCCTCATTGGCCAGGCAGGTCTCAAACTCGTGACCTCAGGTGATCTGCCTGCCTCGGCCTCCCAAAGTGCTGGGATTTCAGGTGTGAGCCACTGTCCCTGGCCAGCCCTGTTGATCCGTGTGTGCTGTGGGTGGGATGCGAGGGTTAGAGGGGACGGAGACACAAACAGTGGTGACCAGAACACAGGAGCCACCTGCGGTCCTTCTGGTTGTTTGAAGCCCTTACTGGAGATCTCATTCCCAGGGCCCACCAGGAACTGGCAAGACCACAAGCATTCTCTGCTTGGCACGAGCTCTTCTGGGCCCAGCACTCAAAGATGCCGTGTTGGAACTCAATGCTTCAAATGATAGGTAGGTCTGAGTCAGGGCTGCAGGGTGGCGGGTGTTCTGCACTGAGAATTGTTACACAAGCAGCCTTTCTCAGCAGTGGACTGTATTCGAAGTTGGCCTTGCCAGCTGTGTGATTTCCTCCACTCCTTCCCAGTGAAAGAGCATAAGAATTCCTCACTTGTTGATGTGATGGTTTATGTTTATAATTTTTTTTTTTTTTTTTTTTTTTGAGACGGAGTTTCGCTCGTTACCCAGGCTGGAGTGCAATGGCGTGATCTCGGCTCACCGCAACCTCCGCCCCCTGGGTTCAGGCAATTCTCCTGCCTCAGCCTCCTGAGTAGCTCGGATTACAGGCACGCGCCACCACACCCAGCTAATTTTTTGTATTTTTGGTAGAGACGGGGTTTCACCATGTTGACCAGGATGGTCTCGATCTCTCGACCTCGTGATCCACCCGCCTCGGCCTCCCAAAGTGCTGAGATTACAGGCTTGAGCCACCGCGCCCGGCCCTATTTTTATTATTTTTTAATTCATATTTTTAAAAACTGTTTTTCGGGCCGGGCGCGGTGGCTCAAGCCTGTAATCCCAGCACTTTGGGAGGCCGAGGCGGGTGGATCACGAGGTCGAGAGATCGAGACCATCCTGGTCAACATGGTGAAACCCCGTCTCTACCAAAAATACAAAAAATTAGCTGGGTGTGGTGGCGCGTGCCTGTAATTCCAGCTACTCAGGAGGCTGAGGCAGGAGAATTGCCTGAACCCAGGGGGCGGAGGTTGCGGTGAGCCGAGATCGCGCCATTGCACTCCAGCCTGGGTAACAAGAGCGAAACTCCGTCTCAAAAAAAAAAAACAAAAAAACAAACAGTTTTTCGGCCGGGCGCGGTGGCTCACGCCTGTAATCCCAGCACTTTGGGAGGCCCAGGCAGGTGGATCACGAGGTCGAGAGATCGAGACCATCCTGGCCAACATGGTGAAACCCCGTCTCTACTAAAAACACAAAAATTAGCTGGGCGTGGTGGCGCGTGCCTGTTATCCCAGCTACTCAGGAGGCTGAGGCAGGAGAATTGCTTGAACCCGGGAGGCAGAGGTTACAGTGAGTTTGTGCCACTACACTTCAGCCTGGAGCCTGGTGATGGAGGGAGACTCTGTCTAAACAAACAAACAAACAAACAAAAAACTGTTTTTCTTGGCTTGGTGTGGTGGCTCACACCTATAATCCCAGCACTTTGGGAGGCTGAGGTGGGTGGATCACCTGACGTCAGGAGTTTGAGACCAGTCGGGCCAACATAGTGAAATCCGGGCCAACATGGTGAAATCCGGTCTCTACTGAAATTACCAGAATTAGCTGGGTGTGGTGTCGGGCACCTGTAATCCCAGCCACTTAGGAGGCTGAGGCAAGATAAACACTTGAACCCAGGAGAAGGAGGTTGCAGTGAGCTGAGATTGCACCGTTGCACTCCAGCCTGAGTGACGAGCAAAACTCTGTCTCAAAAACAAAAACAACAATTTTTCTCTTTTTTCAAGTTTAAAAATTTTTGAAGAGATGGGGTCTCACTGTGTTCCCCAGGCTGATCTCAAACTTAGCCTCCAGCAGTCCTCCTGCCCTGGCCTCCCCAGTTGCTAGGACTGTAGACTCACGCCACCGTGACAGCTAATTTTAATGCTGGGTTTTTTGTTTTTGTTTTTTTTTTGTTTTAATAAAGATGGGGTTTCGCTATGTTGCCCAGGCTGGTCTTGAACTCCGGGGCTCAAGTGATCCTCCTGCTTCAGCTTCCCAGAGTGCTTCAATTACAGGCATGAGCTACCGCGCTGGAATATTCAGCCAGTAAATATAATACAAAATTCCAAAATGTGAATAAAAACCATTTCTGGTGGCCGGGCGCGGTGGCTCAAGCCTGTAATCCCAGCACTTTGGGAGGCCGAGGCGGGTGGATCACGAGGTCGAGAGTTCGAGACCATCCTTGTCGACATGGTGAAACCCCGTCTCTACTAAAAATACAAAAAATCAGCTGGGCATGGTGGCGTGTGCCTGTAATCCCAGCTACTCAGGAGGCTGAGGCAGGAGAATTGCCTGAACCCAGGAGGCGGAGGTTGCGGTGAGCCGAGATCGCGCCATTGCACTCCAGCCTGGGTAACGAGAGCGAAACTCCGCCTCAAAAAAAAAAAAAAAAAAAACAACCATTTCTGGTCTCAAGCATTAGGGATAAGGGATACTCAGCCTGTGTATGTAAAATGTATGGAAGGTTGGCCAGGCATGGTGGTTCACATCTACAATCCCAGCACTTTGGAAGGCTGAGGCAGGTGGATCTCTTGGGTCCAGGTGTTTGAGACCAGCCTGGGTGACATAATGAAACCCATCTTTGTATAAAAATAAAGTGTACTGAGGGATGTGTATAAGTTAATATGCAAATACATGCCATTTCATATAAGGAACTTGAGCATCCGTGGATTTCGGTGTCTGAGGAGGGGCCTTGCACCAGTCCCTGGGAACACCAAGGCACAGCTTCATGCTGTTCACTCCTTGATTCTTCAGTTGGGAAAATGTATGGAGGATATTGTCATCTGAAGATTCGTAGTCCTGAGATTTTGCTTATATGGTCAGTTTTACCATCAGCAGAGTCTAGAATGTTGCCTTTGGTGTCTCTGCAGTTCTTTTTTTGGAGACTAGAGTCTTGCTCTGTCACCAGGCTGGAGTGCGGTAGTGTGATCTCGGCTCACTGCAACCTCTGCCTCCTGGTTCAAATGATTCTCCTGTCTCAGCTTCCTGAGTAGCTGGGATTACAGGCATTAGCCACCATGTCCGGCTAATTTTTGTATTTTTAGTAGAGATGGGGTTTTGCTGCATTGGCCAGGCCGGGCTTAAACTACTGGCCTCAAGTGGTCTGCCTGCGGTAGCCTCCCAAAGTGCTGGGATTACAGATGTGAGACACCATTCTCGGCCTACACTGCAGTTATTTCCTGATTCATCTAATCTTTAGGAAGAGTCCTCTCAATTTTTTTCTCTGTGCTGTTGTGGGTGGAAAATGAAAAATTTTGAATTCTCAGCTGTGGTCAGTGAAAGTTTACAAGATAACAAAAGTGTTATATCTGAACCTCTTATATCTTTTGAAAGATAATGTGAAAAAAAAAACATTTTCCACAGGAGAATAAAAAAAAAAGATAATGTGATATCTCAAGCAATGCAGTTAAAAAACTGAAAGACGAGGCACTGTGGCAGTCTGTGTTGTTGTTTTTAGCAGGGTCTCTGTGTTGCCCAGGCTAGAGTGCAGTTTGGCCATCATGGCTCACTGCAGCCTCAGCCTCCCTGGCTCCAGCGATCTTCCTGCTTGGCCCTCTGGGTAGCTGGGACCACAGGTGCACATCACCATGCCCAGCTCATTTTTATTTTTTGTAGAGATGGGCTTTTGCCATGTTGCTCAGGCTGGTCTTGAACTCCTGAACTCAAGTGAAACCCCCAACTCAGCCTCCCAAAGTGCTGGGATTATAGGTGTGAGCCACTGTGCCTGGCCGACAGTCGTTTCTTTTCTTCCCACTGTTTTATCATTCTAGGCAATTCCACCATTCTTTCATTTTCTTATTTTAACTTTTTTAGCATGGTTGAGAGTGATAAATTATGATGAATTCATTGCTAGGATGATGAAATGGCCAGCTGTTTCAAAATACAGGAAGAGTGAGGTCACTAAGACTCAGAACGCATCTTAGATTACAAAAAGATCAAGTGGCCACTGCACTCCAGCCTGGATGACACAGCAATACTCTGTCTAAACAAAACAAAGTATATATTTTCTTTGGGTTCCCCCTTCCCCCCGAGATGGAGTCTGGCTTTGTTACCCAAGCTGGAGTGCAGTGGTGTGATCTCGGCTTACTGCAACCTCCATCTCCCAGGTTCAAGCAACTGTCCTTCCTCAGCCTCCCGAGTAGCTGGGATTACAGGTGCGCACCACCACACCCAGCTGATTTTTGTGTTTTTAGTACAGATGGGATTTCATCATGTTGGTCAGGCAGTTCTCAAACTCCTGACCTTGTGATCGACCGCCTTGGCCTCCCAAAGTGCTGGGAGCCACCTTGCTGAGCTTTTTTTGTTCTTTGAAAGGCTTCCAAGAAAGAATAATAGTCATAAAAATTTCAGTCCTCATAAATACTTACAATTGCCCCCAAAAAGAAACTCAAAAATGGAAATTGGGTTTTGTAGTCCCTGATAACGCTGATTGTTTAAAAGTCCTCCTTAAGGCAACTGGATTAGTCTCAGAAGGTGCCAGTAAAAACCTGTTGTTCTCTGCTCAGATGTGCTTTATAAGTAAAAGAAAAAAATAATAATAATAAAAAAAAAACCCTTTTCTTCTTTCAGGGGCATTGATGTTGTGAGGAATAAAATTAAAATGTTTGCTCAGCAAAAAGTCACTCTTCCCAAAGGCCGACATAAGATCATCATCCTGGATGAAGCCGACAGGTAGAGTGCTTTGCCAAGTATATTTTGACCTTGATCTTTAAGTCTCTCTTTGGGCTTTATTCAATCAGGATAAAAAGCACTTTCGTAGATTTGCTTTTATCTTCAACAAGCAGTTTCATAGGGGCCTGTGCGTTAAATCTTGGCTTTATTAAGTAACTTCTCAACATTTGTCTAAGATAGTTAATGTGCTAGTTTCAGCATCTCTTAAATTAATAGTTTAAAAAAAATTTTTTTTTTTTTTTTTGAGATTGAGTCTCACTTTGTCACCCAGGCTGGAGTGCAGTGGCACTATCTCTGCCCACTGCAACCTCTGCCTTCCAGATTCAAGCAGTTCTCCTGTCTCAGCCTCCCGAGTAGCTGGGTCTACAGGCATGCACCACGACATCCAGCTAATTTTTTGTAATTTTAGTAGAGATGGGGTTTTGCCATGTTGGTCAGGCTGGTCTCAAACTCCTGACTTCAGGTGATCTGCCTGCCTCAGCCTCCCAAACTGCCAGGATTACAGGTGTGAGCCACTGTGCCCAGCCTGTAAAATTTATTGTGGTTAAATATACATAATTAACCATAAGATAAAATTTACCATTTTAACAACTTTTTTCCTAAGAAATTTTTTTTATTGCACTTTAGGTTCTGGGGTACATGTGAAGAACATGCAAGATTGTTGCATAGGTACACACGTGGCAGTATGATTTGCTGCCTTCCTCCCCATCACCTGTATCTGGCATTTCTCCCCACGCTATCACTCCCCAACTCCCCACCCCTCACTGTCCCTCCCCTTCCCCCCCCACAGACCCCAGTGTGTGATGTTCCCCTCCCTGTGTCCATGTGTTCTCATTGTTCAACACCCACCTATGAGTGAGAACATGCGGTGTTTGATTTTCTGCTCTTGTGTCAGTTTGCTGAGAATGATGGTTTCCAGGTTCATGTTCCTACGAAGGATACAAACTCATCATTTTTTATGGCTGCATAGTATTCCATGGTGTATATGTGCCACATTTTCCCTGTCCAATCTATCATCGATGGGCATTTGGGTTGGTTCCAGGTCTTTGCTATTGTAAACAGTGCTGCAGTGAACACTCATGTGCACGTGTCCTTATAGTAGAACGATTTACAATCCTTTGGATATATACCCAGTAATGGGATTGCTGGGTCAAATGGGATTTCTATTTCTAGGTCCTTGAGGAGTCGCCACACTGTCTTCCACAATGGTTGAATTAATTTACATTCCCACCAACAGTGTAAAAGTGTTCCTATTTCTCCACATCCTCTCCAGCATCCGTTGTCTCCAGATTTTTTAATGATCGCAATTCTGTTGTGAGATGGTATCTCAATGTGGTTTTGATTTGCATTTCTCTAATGACCAGTGATAGTGAGCATTTTTTTCATGTTTGTTGGCCTCATGTATGTCTTCTTTTGTAAAGTGTCTGTTCATATCCTTCACCCACTTTTGAATGGGCTTGTTTGTTTTTTTCTTGTAAATCTGTTTACTTCTTTGTGTATTCTGAATATCAGCCCTTTGTCAGATGCATAGACTGCAAAAATTTTTTCCTATTATATTGGTTGCCGATTCACTCTAATGACTGTTTCTATTGCCGTACAGAAGCTGTGGAGTTTGATTAAGTCCCATTTGTCTATTTTGGCTTTTGTTGCCATTGCTTTTGGTGTTTTGGTCATGAAGTCCTTGCCTATGACTATGTCCTGAATGGTTTTGCCTAGATTTTCTTCTAGGGTTTTTATGGTGTTAGGTCTTATGTTTAAGTCTTTAATCCATCTGGAGTTAATTTTCGTGTAAGGTATCAGGAAGGGGTCCAGTTTCTGCTTTCTGCACATGGCTAGCCAGTTTTCCCAACACCATTAAACAGGGAATCCTTTCCCCATTGCTTGTTTTTGTCAGATTTTTGTATATGTGACAGATGGTTGTATATGTGTGATGTTACCTCCAAGGCCTCTGTTCTGTTCCATTGGTCTATATCTGTTTCAGTACCAGCACCATGCTGTTTTGATTACTGTAGCCTTGTAGTATAGTTTGAAGTCTGGTAGTGTGATGCCTCCAGCTTTGTTCTTTTTGCTTAGAATTGACTTGGCTATGCAGGCTCTCTTTTGGTTCCACATGAAGTTTAAGGTGGTTTTTTCCAGTTCTGTGAAGAAGGTCACAGGTAGCTTGACGGGGATAGCGTTGAATCTGTAAATTACTTTCGGCAGTATGGCCATTTTCACGATACTGATTCTTCCTAACCATGAGCATGGAATGTTTCTCCATCTGTTTGTGTCCTTTCTGATTTCATTGAGCAATGGTTTGTAGTTCTCCTTGAAGAGGTCCTTTACGTTCCTTGTTAGTTGTATTCCTAGGTATTTTATTCTCTGTGTAGCAATTGTGAATGGCAGTTCATTCTTTTTTTTTTTTTTTTTTTTTTTTTGAGATGGAGTTTCACTCCTGTTACCCAGGCTGGAGTGCAATGGCGTGATCTTGGCTCACCGCAACCTCTGCCTCTTGGGTTCAGGCAATTCTCCTGCCTCAGCCTCCTGAGTAGCTGGGATTACAGGCACGCGCCACCATGCCCAGCTAATTTTTTGTGTTTTTAGTAGAGACAGGGTTTCACCATGTTGACCAGGATGGTCTCCATCTCTTGACCTTGTGATCCACCTGCCTCAACCTCCCGAAGTGCTGGGATTACAGGTGTGAGCCACCGCGCCCGGTCTGGCAGCTCGTTCTTGATTTGGCTCTCTTTAAGTCTGTTACTGGTGTATAGGAATGCTTGTGATTTTTGCACATTGACTTTGTATCCTGAGATTTTGCTGAAGTTGTTTATCAGTTTCAGGAGATTTTGGGCTGAGACAATGGGGTCTTCTAAATATACAATCATGTCGTCTGCAGATAAAGACAATTTGACTTCCTCCTTTCCTAATTGAATACCCTTTATTTCTTTTTTCTTGCCTGATTGATCTGGCTAGAACTTCCAATACTATATTGAATAGGAGTGGTGAGAAAGGGCATCCTTGTCTAATGCCAGATTTCAAAGGGAATGCTTCCAGTTTTTGCTTGTTCAGTATGATATTGGCTGGTGGTTTGTTGTAAATAGCTTTTATTATTTTGAAATATGTTCCATCAATACCTAGTTTATTGAGGGATTTTAGCATAAAGGGCTGTTGAATTTTGTCAAAGGCCTTCTCTGCATCAATTGAGATAATCATGTAGTTTTTGTCTTTGGTTCTGTTTATGTGGTGAATTACATTTATAGAGTTGTGTATGTTGAACCAGCCTTGCATCCCCGGGGTGAAGCCTAGTTGATCATGGTGGATAAGCTTTTTTTTTTTTTTTTTTTTTTGAGACGGAGTTTCGCTCTTGTTACCCAGGCTGGAGTGCAATGGCGCGATCTTGGCTCATCGCAACCTCCGCCTCCCGGGTTCAGGCAATTCTCCTGCCTCAGCCTCCTGAGTAGCTGGGATTACAGGCACACGCCACCATGCCCAGCTGATTTTTAGTATTTTTAGTAGAGACGGGGTTTCACCATGTTGACCAGGTTGGTCTCGATCTCTCGACCTTGTGATCCACCCGCCTCGGCCTCCCAAAGTGCTGGGATTATAGGCGTGAGCCACCGCGCCCGGCCGATGGTTTTTATTTCTGTGGAATCTGTGGTGATATCCCCTTTATCATTTTTTATTGCATCAATTTGATTATTCTCTCTTCTCTTTTTTATTAATCTGGCCAGTGGTCTATTTTGTTGATCTTTTTGAAAAACCAGCTCCTGGATTTATTGGTTTTTTTGAAGGATTTTTTGTGTCTCTGTCTCCTTCAGTTCTGCTCTGATCGTAGTTGTTTCTTGTCTTCTGCTAGGTTTTGAGTTTTTTTGGTCTTGCTCCCCTAGCTCTTTCAATTTTGATGATAGGGTGTTGATTTTAGATCTTTCCTTGCTTCTCATGTTGACATTTATTGCTATGTATTTTCTTCTAGACACTGCTTTAAATGTGTCCCAGAGATTCTGGTATGTTGTGTCTTCTTTCTCATTGGTTTCAAAGAACATCTTTATTTCTGCCTTCACTTCATTGTTTATCCAATCAACATTCAAGAGCCAGTTGTTCAGTTTCCATGAAGCTATGCGGTTCTGAGTTAGTTTCTGAATTCTGAGTTCTAACTTGATTGCACTGTGGTCTGAGAGACTGTTTGTTATGATTTCCATTCTTTTGCATTTGCTGAGGAGTGATTTACTTCCAATTATGTGGTCAATTTTAGAGTAGGTATGATATGGTGATGAGAAGAATGTATATTCTATGGATTTGGGGTGGAGAGTTCTGTAAATGTCTTTTAGGTTTGCTTGGTTCAGATCTGAGTTCAAGTCCTGGATATCCTTGTTAATTTTCTGTCTCGTTGATCTAATATTGTCAGTGGGGACAATGGGGTGTTAAAGTCTCCCACTATTATTGTGTGGGAGTCTAAGTCTCTTTGTAAGTCAATAAGAACTTGCCTTATGTATCTGTGTGCTCCTGTATTGAGTGCGTATATATTTAGGATCGTTAGCTCTTCTTGTTGCATTGATCCTTTTACCATTATGTAATGTCTTTCTTTGTCTCTTTTGATCTTTGTTGCTTTAAAGTCTATTTTATCAGAGACGAGAATTGCAACTCCTGCTGTTTTTTTGCTCTCCATTTGCTTGGTAAATCTTCCTCCATCCCTTTATTTTGAGACTTTGTGTGTCCTTGCATGTGAGATGGGTTTCCTGGATATAGCACACTGATGGGTTTTGGCTTTTTATCCAATTTGCCAGTCTGTGTCTTTTGATTGGGGCTTTTAGCCCATTTACATTTAGGGTTAATACTGTGATTTGTGAATTTAATCCTGCCATTTTGATGCTAGCTGGTTGTTTTGCCTATTAGTTGACACAGTTTCTTTATTGTGTCGATGCTCTTTACCATTTGGTTTGTTTTTGCAGTGGCTGGTACTGGTTGTTCCTTTCTATGTTTTGTGCTTCTTTCAGGAGCTCTTGTAAAGCAGACCTGGTGGTGATGAAATCTCTGAGTAATCGCTTGTTTGTAAGGATTTTATTTCTCCTTCACTTATGAAGCTTAGTTTGGCTGGATATGAAATTCTGGGTTGAAAGTTCTTTTCTTTTTTTTTTTTTTTTTTTTTTTTTTTGAGACAGAGTTTCGCTCTTGTTACCCAGGCTGGAGTGCAATGGCGCGATCTCGGCTCACCGCAACCTCCGCCCCCTGGGTTCAGGCAATTCTCCTGCCTCAGCCTCCTGAGTAGCTGGGATTACAGGCACGCACCACCATGCCCAGCTAAAAAGTTCTTTTCTTTAAGGATGTTGAATATTGGCCCCCACTGTCTTCTGGCTTGTAGGTTTTCTGCTGAGAGATCTGCTGTGAATCTGATAGGCTTTCCTTTGTGAGTAACCTGACCTTTCTCTCTGGCTGCCCTTAGCATTTTCTCCTTCATTTCAACCCTGGTGAATCTGACAATTATGTGCCTTGGGGTTGCTCTTCTTGAGGAATATTTTTGTGGTCTTCTCTGTATTTCCTGGACTTGAATGTTTGCCTGCCTTGCTAGGTTGGGGAAGTTTTCCTGGATAATATCCTGAAGAGTATTTTCCAGCTTGGATTCATTCTGTCCGTTACATTCAGGTACACCTATTAAATGTAGATTAGGTTTTTTCACATAGTCCCACGTTTCTTGGAGACTTTGTTCATTCCTTTTTACCCTTTTTTCTCTAATCTTGCCTTCTCGTTTTATTTCCTTGAGTTGCTCTTTGACCTCTGATACCCTTTCTTCTGCTTGGTCAATTCAGCTGTTGAAACTTGTGCATACTTCGTGAAGGTCTCGTGTTGTGTTTTTCAGCTCCATCAATTCACTTACATTCCTCTCTAAGTTGTTTATTCTCGTTAGCATTTCGTCAAATCTTTTTTCAAGGTTCCTAATTTCTTTGCATTGGGTTAGAACATGTTCTTTTAGCTCAGGGAAGTTTCTTATTACCCACCTTCCAAAGCCTGATTCTGTCGATTCGTCACACTCATTCTCCATCCAGCCTTGTTCCCTTGCTGGTGAGGAGTCGTGATCCCTTGTAGGAGGAGAGGCATTCTGGTTTTGGGTGTTTTCATCCTTTTTGTGCTGGTTTCTTCCCATCTTTGTGAATTTATCTACCTGTCGTCTTTGTAGATGTTGACTTTCAGATTGGGTCTCTGAGTGGGCGTCCGGTTTGTTGATGATGAAGTTATTTCTTCCTGTTTCTTAGTTTTCCTTCTAACATTCAGGCCCCTCTGCTGTAGGACTGCTGAAGTCCACTCCAGGCCCTGCTTGCCTGGGGATCGCCTGTAGCAGCTGCAGAACAGTAAGGGCTGCTGCCAGTTTCTTCTGCTATCTTTGTCCCAGAAGCATACTCGCCAGATATCAGTCTGAGCTCTCCTTTACGAGATGACTCTTTGGATATACGGGGGTCAGGGAGCTGCTTGAGGAGACAGTCTGTCCCTTATAGGAGCTCAGGTGCTGAGCTGTGAGCTCTGTTGTTCAATCAGAGCTGCTGGGCAGGTACCATTTAAGTCTGCTGCAGCAGAACTCATAAACGCCTTTTTTTTTTCTCCCAGGTGCTCTGTCCCAGGGAGTTGGGGATTTATTTGTGAGTTCTGTCATGCTGCTGCCTTTTTTCAGGGCTGCCCTGCCCAGCGAGGAGGCAGCCTAGTCACTGTCTGCCTGCAGAGCCTTTGCTGAGCTGCTGTGGGCTCCGCCCAGCTGTCGTGTGAACTTCCCTGCAGTCCTGTTTATACGGGTGTAGTTAGAACTGCCTTGGCAGTGGCAGCCCACCTCTGTAATGGCAGACACTCTCTGTAGTGGCAGGCTGCCTCAGCAATGGCGGACTACCTCCATAGTGGTGGAGTGCCTCGGTAATGGCAGACGCCCCTCCCCCACAGAGCTGGACCATCCCGGGTTCAGCTGTGCTTGCTGTGAAACTCTCAATCAAGAGCGTTTCTGGTTGCTGTTTTTCTGTGGGGATGGGACCAGCCGTGCCTGATCACCTGGCTGCCTGCCTCAGACCCCCCCCCCCGCCCCTTTATTTTTCCCCAGTTAAATGGCGACTCTGTCTCCCAGGTGTTCCAGTTGCCTGTTGAAAAGGCACTGGGATCTGTGTGATTTCCCGTGTGGCGACCCACTGCACCGGCTGAAACAGCCGAGCAGAGATTGGTGGCACTTTTTTGCCTGGGAATCTCCTGGCCTGGCTCCCTGTTTCAGTCCCCTTTTTATCCGTCAAATGGGCGACTCTGTCTCCTAGTAGCTCCAGTCGCCTGTAAAGCAGCGCTAGGACCCGTGTATTTTGTGCAGAGACCCGCCGCACTGGCCAAAACAGCCATGCTGGCCACCCGTGGGGCTCCTCCACCTGGGAATCTCCTGGTCTGTGGGCAATAAAAATCCGCCTGGAAATGCGGCGTCCACTCACCCTCCACACTTTTGCTAGGAGCTGCAATCCTGAGTTGCTCCTAATCGACCATCTTGGATTTAACAATTTTTAAGTGTATAATTCGGTGGCATTTAGTACAGTCACAATGGTGTGCAACCATCACAACACTGTGGTTGGTATAAATGAAAAATTTGAGGTCAGGCTTGGTGGCTCATGCTTGTAAGCATAGGCTTTTTTGTAATTTTAAACGTTTTTTTTTTTTTTAGAAATAGAGGTCTCACTGTGTTGCCCAGACTGGTCTTGAACTCCTGGTCTCAAATGATCCTCTCACGTCAGCCTCTTGAGGTGGAAGATTGCTTGAACCCAGGAATTCAAGGCTGCAGTGAACTGTGATTGCACTGTTGAGCTACAGCCTAGGCGAAAGCAAGATCCTGTCTCTTTTTTTTCTTTGGAGACAGAGGAAAAAGATGGTGCTATGGCACCATCGTAGCTCACTGCACCCTCCGCTCCCAGATTCAAGCAGTTCTCCTGCCTCAGCCTCCCGAGTAGCTGGGATTACAGGTGCTCACCACCACACCTGTGTAATTTTTGTATTTTTAGTAGAGACAAGGCTTTACCATGTTGACCTGGCTGGTCTCGAACTCCTGAACTCGTGATTCGCCCACCTCGGCCTCCCAAAGTGCTGGGATTATAGGCGTGAGCCACCTTGCCCACCCTGTGACTATTCTCTTGCATTTAATGTCATGAAGGGCTGGAGAGAGCAGCAGTTCCCACAAGTGTGATGGCAGCCACTGTAGATGGTGGTTTTCATGAGTTTTACTTGAGGGTGGTTCTGATGCTGTAGGTACTAAATGCTGTTTGAGCAGTCTTTGAGAGAGCAGCCTGCTGGTTTTAGCATTAGAGGGGTGGCCTGTGTACTTCCGATGAGACCCTCATGTAGGACATCAGACATGTCTTAGGTCCTGGGTTTTTGTATGGGGAGCGATTTGGGTCGTATGGACCCTGGGTCCCACTTGCAAATCTGTGTTTTTTTTCTCAGCATGACTGATGGAGCCCAGCAAGCCTTGAGGAGAACCATGGAAATCTACTCCAAAACTACTCGCTTTGCCCTTGCATGTAACGCTTCGGATAAGATCATTGGTGAGTGGAAGCTCCGGGTGGCTGGGGTGCACCTGGTGCTCACCGGGCTTTTTTTCTTTTCTGTGGATGTGGTCTCCCTCTTCACTCAGGCTGGAAAGCAGTGGTGCCATCACGGCTCACTGCAGCCTCAAACTCCTGTGCTCAAGTGCTCTTCCTGCCTCAGCCTCCCAGTAGCTGACACCATAGGCTTATGCCACCACACCTAGGTTTTTTGGTTTTTGTTTTTTTGAGACAAAGTCTCACTCCGTCGCCCAGGCTGGAGTGTCATGACGCGATCTCGGATCATTGCAGCCTCCATCTCCAAGGTTCAAGCAATCCTTGTGCTTCAGCCTCTCAAGTAGCTGGAATGGCAGGCACACAGTACCACCCCGGCTAATTTTTGTTTTTTTTTTTTTAGTAGAGATGGGGTTTTACTGTGTTGGCCAGGCTGGTCTCAAACAAACTCCTGATCAGAAGTGATCCACCTACCTTGGCCTCCCAAAGTGCTGGAATTACAGGCGTGAGCCACTGCACCTGACCACACCTCGGCTCTCTAGCACTGGACGGGTAGGGACTTTCTGATTGCATAGCATGGGCCAAACACTATATAATCAAGTTTTTAAATTTAATTTTTGTAATTGACAAAAATTGTGTATATTATGCACAACATGTTTTCCAATATAATCAACTTCTATTTATTTATCTTATTATTTTCTTTTTGAGACAGCGTCTTGCTCTGTCGCCATGCTGGAGTGCAGTGGTGCAATCTCGGCTCACTGCAGCCTCCGCCTCCCGGGTTCAAGCGATTCTCCTGCCTCAGCCTCCTAAGTAGCTGGGATAACAGGCATCCACCACTATACCCAGCTGATTTTTGTATTTTTTAGTAGAGGTGGAGTTTCCCCATGTTGGCCAGGATGGTCCTGAACTCCTGACCTTGTGATCTGCCCGCCCTTGCCTCCCAGAATGCTGGGATTACAGGCAAGAGCCACAGCGCCCGGCCTCAACTTTTAAATTTAATTTTATATAATCCTATGACAAGGTGTTACTAGCTTTGCTTTAGAGATGAGAAAACTGGAGCCGATCCTGATGTTTAGGATCTAAAGAGAAAAAAAAGGGAAAACGAGCTTGGAGAGGTGGAGTAGTTTACCCGCCGCCAGAGCCACGTTCGAGAGCAGCTGGGATTGGAGCCCCAGGTCTGCCTCCCTCTTGCCCTCTTAGAGGCACCCAGGACGTTGTTGGTATCCCGCGCAGAGTGTCACAATCACTGTTGCTGTCCGGATACCGTCGCCTGCTTTTCACGTGCTCTGAGCACTTGGCATAGGCAGTATCTACACGGTGGAATTTGTTGCCTCCAGGAAGCTCCTCTCTCAAATCCTGCAGTCAGCCTTCTCTCTGACCTTGCTATATGCCCTTCCGGCTCCCTCCCTCCCTGCAGGCCATCTCCTTTCTCAGCTTTGAAACCTCCCGCCCCAAGTCCCAGGAGTGCTCTAGTTTGTCAGCTTCCTGCTGGTTTCACATCCTTCTCTTTCTCTTTTTTTAGACAGAGTCTCGCTCTGTTGCCCAGGCGGGAGTGCAGTGGTGCAGTTTTAGCTCACTGAAACCTCCACCTCCCAGATTCAAGTGATTCTCCTGCCTCAGCCTCAAAACTAGCTGGGATTGCAGACACACACCACCACGCCTGGCTAATTTTGTGTTTTTCGTAGAGACAGGATTTCACCATGTTGCCCAGACTGCTCTAGAACTCCTGGCCTCAAGTGGTCCACCCGCCGTGGCCTCCCAAAGTGCTGGTATTACAGGTGTGAGCCACCGCGCCTGGCCCGTCCTTCTGACACAAGCCGCCTGCACAGCTTTCATTTCTCATCACTCTCTCCGCTTTCTTTGCCTCAATTCTGTGCTGCTGAAGTCCAGCCGAATAAGCTCATCCATCTGAGATCCCCCTTCTCAGGCCTCTGCTGCAAACAGGCACATTAGCTAATGTGATGCCCACAGGGTCATGGCCACCAGCCCCGGCAGGGCTCCCAGGGAATCATTTGCATTCTTTTCCCTTCCCCATATCGCACTGATTTGTGCATTGATTCATTCAGCCATTCACCAAACACTGTTCTTAGTAACTGCCAGGCACCATGCTAGTGGAGAACTCGCAAAGTTAAATGAGAAGTATTCTCCGCCTTCCAGATGGCAGCAATGAAGGGGAGAAAAGTGCATTCCAAGTTCTTGATTTGGTCAGGCATGGTGGCTCACGCCTTTAATCCCAGCACTTTGGGAGGCCAAGGCATGTGGATTACCGGAGGTCAGGAGTTTGAGGCGAGCCTGGCCAACATGGTAAAACCCTGTTTCTACTAAAAATACAATGATTAGCTAGGCATGATAGCGTGCACCTGTAATCCCAGCTCCTCAGGATGCTGTGACAGGAGAATCACTTGAACCTAGGAGGTGGAGGTTGCAGTGAGCCAAGATCACACCACTGCATTCCAACCTGAGCAACAGAGTGAGACTCCGTCTCAGGGGGGAAAAAAAAGCCGGCCAGGTGTGGTGGCTCACACCTGTAATCCCTGCACTTTGGGAGGCCAAGGCAGGAGGACTGCTTGAGGCCAGGAGTTCGAGACCAGCCTGGGCAACATAGCAAAACCCTGTCTTTAAACAAAACAAAAGAAACTGGGGATGGCCCATTCAGAATGAATTGTCATGTGCCCAGAAGGGCTATGTCCAGCACACAGCAATTCCAGAGTCCACCTGGGCCAGGGCTGACTTACCTGAGGGCTTGTGGCACATGGATGTGTCTCTACTGGAGGATCATTTCCCCATCTGGAAGCTGTGGCTAGCCAAGGCCATGCCAGGTAGTGCCAGCTGAGACCTCTCATTGCTTATTCATTGATACCTTGACATGTCACCCTGTTTTGTCTGTGTCTCTCTCTTTTTTTTATTTTGAGACACAGTCTCACTGTCGTCCAGGCTGAAGTGCAGTGGTGCGATCTTGGCTGACTGCAGCCTCCGCCTTCCGTCTCACGCGATTCTCCTGCTGTAGCCTCCCAAGTAGCTGGGATTGCAGGCATGAGCCACCACACCTGACTAATTTTTGTATTTTTAGTAGAGATGGGTTTTCACCTTGTTGGCCAGGCTGGTCTTGAACGCCCAACCTCAAGTGATCCTCCCGCCTCAGCCTCCCAAAGTGCTAGGATTCAGGCGTGAGCCAAGGTGCCCAGCCTGCCAAGTCTCCATTGAGTACTTGGGGCTGTGTGGATTGTGCAGCTACAGCCTTGTAACTGCAGAGTTAGCAGGGTAACCCGGGCCTCTGCAGGGAAGCCTCACTGCCGCCCCGTCTCTCTTCAGAGCCCATTCAGTCCCGCTGCGCTGTCCTCCGCTACACGAAGCTGACCGATGCCCAGATCCTCACCAGGCTGATGAGTGTTATCGAAAAGGAGAGGGTGCCCCACACTGATGACGGCCTGGAAGCTATCATCTTCACGGCACAGGGAGACATGAGGCAGGTATGTGGGCCGCTACCAACCAGGTGTGGGTGTCCTGGGCCTGCCATGCCCCTTCCACGGGGAAGAGGAGGGAAGTCACAGCTGCACAAGGCACAGCCAGATTAAGGGAGGGAGACCTGGCACCCTCCTGGGACAGTGGACTATCTTGCTGGGACTCCAAGAAGAGACAAGGGGAAGGGATGAGGTGGGCGGATCACCTGAGGTCAGGAGTTCAAGACCAGCCTGGCCAACATGGTGAAACCCCATCTCTACTAAGAAAATATAAAAATTAGCCAGGCGTAGTGGCGGGCGCCTGTAATCCCAGCTACTTGGGAGGCCGAGGCAGGAGAATCACTTGAACCTGGGAGGTGGAGGTTGCAGTGAGCTGAGATCATGCCACTGCACTCCACTTTGGGCGACAGAGTGAGAATCTGTCTCAAAAAAAAAAAAAAAAAGCACCCTTGGCCTGATGTGGTGGCTAAAACACCTGTACTTGAGGCCAGGAGTTTAAGACCAGCCTGGGCAACATAGCAAGAACCTGTCTCTACCCGCCTGTGCCCCCAAAAATAAATAAATAAATAAATTTTTAGAAAATAAAAATAAAAATCACGGTTGACATGTGTTTGCTCCTGAACAGGCGCTGAACAACCTGCAGTCTACCTTCTCAGGCTTTGGCTTCATTAACAGTGAGAATGTGTTCAAGGTACGAGCACTGGTGTGGGCGGCACAGTCAGCAGAAGCCCTGCTTCCCCGAGGGGCTCAGTGGGGCTGGGCTGGCAGTGGGGAAGGACACCTGGCTGCTCTGGTGGCTGCCAGGGAGCCCGCCCTGCTCCCGTCTGTCCTCTCTGTCGCTGCTTTTGCTGCACAAGCGGAAGAGCTGGGGGTAGGGGGACCTGGAACGTCACTTACATGTCGTGGGTGAGGGAGGATCACTGATGCCTCATACCCAGGCCTGGGCAATTTCCGACGCGTCTTATTGGATCCCAGCAACTTCCCTGCACAGAGGTTCTTCCCATCATACTGTGAGTGATGACACGGGCCCAGGGGATCCCCTGGTCCCTAAAGGGCAGACAGGAGCACCGTGCTGCTCCCCAGCAGCCTTCAGACCCCTCACACTGGGATTTTTTGCAGTGCCGTGCCCTGCTTCCCACTTCTGCCCGTGGAGAGTAGGTAACAACCTCAAAGCCAGGCTGAGGAAAAGGCCTCCCACTCTCCCATGTCTGCAAAGCATTTTTCTCTTGGGAATTCTTTTGAAAACTGCTTCTGTGTCCTGATAACTTGGCGTCTAAATGCCACTTGGGAGACTAATTTCCCTGATTTGGGGGTAGAAACTGGGAACGGTTGTCTAAGCTTTCAGTCTAGAGCTCTTTTCTTACTGGGTTTGTGGACAACAGACAAGCTATTTTCAAAGCATCTGGGTGCACCTGGGCAGTGAATGTGTTTCCAAGGCCACTTAGGAAAGGGAAGCCCGCTCAGAAACAGGGGTGATGGTCTGGGGCCTGTTTTTTTTTTTTTTTTTTTTGAGACGGCGTTTTGCTCTTGTTGCCCAGGCTGGAGTGCAATGGCGCGATCTCGGCTCACCGCAACCTCCACCTCCTGGGTTCAGGCAATTCTCCTGCCTCAGCCTCCTGAGTAGCCGGGATTACAGGCACGCGCCACCATGCCCAGCTAATTTTTTTAGTATTTTTAGTAGAGACGGGGTTTCACCATGTTGACCAGGATGGTCTCGATCTCTTGACCTCGTGATCCACCCGCCTCGGCCTCCCGAAGTGCTGGGATTACAGGCTTGAGCCACCGCGCCCGGCCCTGTTTTTTCTTGTAGGGTCACTGAGGGCTCAGGAAACCATGGCTTCAGCTGGGAGAAGACAAGGGCAGGTGTGGGTGCCCTCTGGAGCCATCAGGAGGCTTTCATTGAGAAGCTTTAGGGGTTGACGTTGTACCACAGGCAGAGCCTAATGCCAGTGGGGAGTGCTTGGGGGGAGGACAGAGCCCCAGAACCATCCACCCTCCTTCTGGAGTAGCGGGACCCCTCCTTTAGGGTGTCAGGCTGAGGCCGGGGACCCTCTGCAGGGAAGGTCAGTTTCTACTCCAGGGTGTAGATGAGAATTGGCGCAAAGGACCTCCTAGTTCTAAAGTGAATTCCAAGTGGTTCTGGGCAGGTGACCCCCTGCCGAGTGATCTCAGACAGGTGACTCACGGCTCACGGGACAGCATCCCTCGCAGGTCCTTGGTCGCTCTTGTTCATCTGTCTTACGTTTGGGAAATGTATCATCCTGGTGCTAGAAGCATTTCTCTTTGGTGGTGAGAGGAGCATTCTCCAAACTCATTCTGGTTGCTGGAGAATTTGATGAAAACAGCAGGTAGGCGGGGCATGGTGGCTCATGCCTGTAATCCCAGCACTTTGGGAGGCTGAGGTGGGTAGATCACGAGGTCAGGAGTTCGAGACCAGCCTGACCAACATGGTGAAACCCTGTCTCTACTAAAAATACGGAAATTAGCCAGGCATGGTGGCATACTACTCAGGAGGCTGAGACAGGAGAATCGCTTGAACCCAGGAGGCTGAGGTTGCAGTGAGCTGGGATTGCACTATTGTACTGTAGCCTGGGTGACAGCGTGAGACTCATCTAAAAAACAAAAGGAAACAGCAGATTGAGAAGCTGGACCCAGAGATTGCCTGGAAGTTGGTCTGTCAGGGTCTCCCCGCTCATGCTGTTCCCCCAACCCTCACAGCCCCTGACTGCGTTCATTTCCCTTTGGCCAGGTCTGTGACGAGCCCCACCCACTGCTGGTGAAGGAGATGATCCAGCACTGTGTGAACGCCAACATCGATGAAGCTTACAAGGTCAGCCTCCTTTCCCCCGCGCCCCGCCGTGTCCTCGCAGACGAACCTCTCACTTCTTGGGCAACGGGCAGGGGAGCCCTTCTGGTGCCAGGGATGTTACACACATCACTGTGATTTTTTTTTTTTTTTTTTTTTTTTTTTTTTTTTGAGACGGAGTTTCGCTCTCGTTACCCAGGCTGGAGTGCAGTGGCGCGATCTCGGCTCACCACAACCTCCGCCTCCTGGGTTCAGGCAATTCTCCTGCCTCAGCCTCCTGAGTAGCTGGGATTACAGGCACACGCCACCACGCCCAGCTAATTTTTTTTTTGTATTTTTAGTAGAGATGGGGTTTCACCATGTCGACCAGGATGGTCTCGAACTCTGGACCTCATGATCCACTCGCCTCGGCCTCCCAAAGTGCTGGGATTACAGGCTTGAGCCACCGCGCCTGGCCACTGTGATTTTTTTAATAGTGACTTTTAATCACCATTAAAAATCATAGTTGGGAGGCTGAGGCAGGAGGATTTCTCGAGCCCTGGAGGTCAAGGCTGCTGTGAGCCATGATTGCATCACTGTACCCCAGCCTCGGTGACAGTGAGACCCTATCCCAGGGAAAAAATATTATTATCATGCTATGTCTTAATCTGTCAAGTAGCTGGAAAAAAAATCATGCTAGAAGTTGGGTGCACGTTACTGATGTGAAAATTGATTCAGAGAGGCTGAACTCCTTGCCCAAATCACTGTGTGTGTTTCTTGAGAGCTCGTTTGGAGGTTGTAGCAGGGGAGGGCAGCTACTCGTATACCCTTGACCGAAGACCGGACCTCCTCTGTTGGGGATAGTTGTCCTCTTCGACCGAGCGTGCAGCTTCGGGAGGGGTGCACATGGAGCGGTGAGGGAGAAAGGGGACACCCGCCTAGCCAGCCAGATCAGCCAAATCAACCCTGGCGATCAATAGGGTGACAGATGTCCCAGCCAGATCTCCTTCACATCCCACTGTGTTTATTTCTTATTTATGTATTTATTACTTTTTTAGAGACAGGGTCTTGCTCTGCTGCCTAGGCTGGAATGCAGTGACTCGGTCACAGCTCACTGCAGCTTCAAGCTCTCAGGCTCAGGCGATCCTCCTGCCTCAGGCTTCTCCCAAGTAGCTGGGACTATAGGCACATGTCACTACACCCAGTTCTAAATCATATTGTTTAAAAGCAGTACAGCCAGGCACGGTGGATCACCTGAGGTCAGGAATTTGAGACAGTGTAGCTAACATGGTGAAACCCCATCTGTACTGAAAATACAAAAACTAGCCGGGCTGGGCAAGGTGCCGCACACCTGTAGTCCCAGCACTTTGGAAGGCTGAGGCAGGAGAATCGATTAAACCTGGGAGATGGAGGTTGCAGTGAGCTGAGACCTCGCCATTGCACTCCAGCCTGGGAGACAACGAGATTCTGTCTCACGAAAAAGAAAAAAAAAAGCAGTAGAACTAGAATTCAAAATGGTATTTTTCTCCTGTAATTATGTCCTCTGCCAGAGAAATTTGTCAGCACAAGTCAGGAGGAAAGACCAGCCTAGCTCCTTCTCCAGTGAAGCCATCTGTCTGGTTAAGCAGGGGTGTCCCCATCCATTCTCATCGGCACAGGCATTCTGGGACCCAGCAGCCCCCAGCCAGCCAGGCAAGGAGGGTCCAGGAAGACTCCAGCCTGACAGTGAGACCGGGCTTGTAAGCAGATTCCGGCAGGTGTGGCTGGGGTTCGGGTGACCTCAAGCCACAGGGATGGCGTTTGTCTGGTTCAGGGTCATTGGTCCAGTCGTCGGTCCCCTCGGCCTACCCGCCGAGTAACTGGGCTGGAAGTTGACTGGGTTTAGGGCAGAGTTCTACCCAATGTGAAAGCGGAGTGCAGGGCGAGGAGACAGGCAGAGACCCAGGGCCAGATCCCTGAGCGGACCTGAAGAAAGCCTTCAGATTTATGGACACAGAGCTGCTCTGCCCCCTGAGTTCACCCCAAGAGGCCAAAGCAAAAGCAAAAAGGCCTGTCTCCAGACGCTGCAGCCTGTTTGGGGCAGGGTGGGTGAGGCCGGACGGAGGCTTGCTGGGTCTGCAGGGCTTGCTGGTGACTGCAACCGGCGAAGCCAGCAGAGGAATGTTCTGCTTTTTCGACTCTGCTGTACTTCGTCATCAGATTAATAAAGCGTTTTAAGAGCTCCGCATCAAGAGAATATGTGAGTGTGGTAGTAGACCATTTTACAACACAACTTAAAATATTTGCATTCAGCACCCCTACCCCATAAATAAATAAACAAACAAACATTTGCAATAGGCTGGCCTCAGCGGCTCGTGCCTGTAATCCCAGCACTTTGGGAGGCTGAGGCAGGAGGATTACCTGAGGCCAGGAACTTGGGACCAGCCTGGGCAATATAGCAAGACTCCTTCTTTATATTATTGAAAAAAAAATATTTAAGCAAAACGAAAATACATTTGCCAAGTTCTCTTTGTATCTGCCAGGAAAATCAGTTAAGGTACCCCCTGTGACCTGAAGGGCATGCCCACTAGCTGTGGAGTCTCGGAATCACATGGCTTCCTGCAGTCTCAAGTTGTTAAGCAGCCTCCTCTGTCTCCTTTGTCTAGATTCTCGCTCACCTGTGGCATCTGGGCTACTCACCAGAAGATATCATTGGCAACATCTTTCGAGTGTGTAAAACTTTCCAAATGGCAGAATACCTGAAACTGGAGTTTATCAAGGTCAGTGAGAGTCTAGGAATGCTGCTGTCCTCAAGGATGTGGGTCATGGTGGCCAGGCGTGGTAGCTCACGCCTGTAATCCAAACACTTCGGGAGGTCGAGGCGGGCAGATCACCCGAGGTCAGACCAGCCTGACCAACATGGTGAAACCCTGTCTCTCCTAAAAATATAAAAATTACCTGGGTGTGGTGGCACGTGCTTATAATCCCAGCTACTTGAGAGGCTGAGGCAGGAGAATTGCTTGAACCCGGGAGGCAAAGGTTACAGTGAGCTGAGATCGAGCCACTGCACTCCAGCCTGGGCAGCAGCAGAGCGAGACTGTCTCGAAACAAAAAAAAACAAGACGGTGGGCTTGGCTTTGTTTGCTCACAGGCCTGGCACCTAGAAGATTCTCTGGTTCCCAACTGCAGCGTGAGGGAGGTGTGTCTTAGTCCCTTTTAGTTGTTATAAAGGAATACCGGAGACTGGGTGATTTAGAAAGGAAAGAGGTTGATTGGCTCTCAGTTCTCCAGGCTGTACACGTAGCATGAGGCCAGATCTACCTCTAGGGAGGGGTTCAGGCTACTTCTGCTACTGTTGGAAGCGAGTAGGAGGAGCCTGTGCGTGCAGAGATCACCTGCCGAGAGAGCAGAGGGAGGTGCCAGGCTCATTCGAACAGCCAGCTCTCCAGGGAACTAAGGGAACCAGAACCGATTTATTACCTTGGGGTGGGCACCAGGCCATTCACATGGGACCTTCATGACCCAAACATCCCCACATTGGGGATCAAATTCCAAATGAGATTGGGAGGGGGCACACGTCCACACTGTGTCAGCATGGCTGATTGTCCTGGGCCAAGTTTGTTTCACCCAGTTCTGATTTTCTTCATTTGCGGCTCTCTTGTCAGTCGATTGATTTGTTTGTTTTGTTTTGAGACGGAGTTTCTCGCTCTTGTTGGCCAGGCTGGAGTGCAGTGATGCAATCTCGGCTTGCTGCAACCTCTGCCTCCTGGGTTCAAGCAATTCTCCTGCCTCAGCCTCCCAAGTAGCTGGGATTATAGGCACACACCACCACACGCAGCTATTTTTTTATATTTTTAGTAGAAATGGGGTTCACCATGTTGGCCAGGCTGGTCTCAAACTCCTGACTTCAGGTGATCCACCCGCCTCAACCTCCCAAAGTGCTGGGATTACAGGTGTGAGCCACCACACCTAGCTGATTGATTGATTTTTAAGGTCAGATTAATTGGGGTTTAATTTACATAGAGTAAAAATCAGCCTGTTAGGGACAGGACAAATGTACTCAGTCATGCAAATGCTGTCACAATCAAGATGCAGAATCTGTCATCCCAGAAAACTTAATGTGCCCATTTGAAGTCAGCATCCTCCCTGCCTGCCACCTGGAAACCACTAATGTACTTTCCCTTGGAGGGATAAAATTTTCTGGAATATCATGTAACTGGGATCATGTAGAACTTAGCCTTGTGAGTTTGACTTCTTTCACTTTAGCAGAACTGCCTTTCAGATGTGTACATGTTGGTACCACTATCCATGCTTCAGTCTTTTTTTGTCTTTTTTTTTTTTTTTTTTTTTTTTGGAACGGATTCTCACTCTGTTGCCCAGGCTAAAGTGCAATGGTGTGATCTCGGCTCACTGCAACCTCTGCTTCCCAGGTTCAAGTGATTCTCCTGCCTCAGCCTCCTGAATAGCTGGGATTCCAGGTGCTTGTCACCTCACCCAGCTAATTTTTATATTTTTAGTAGAGACTGGGTTTCACCATGTTGGTCAGGCTGGTCTGGAACTCCTGACCTCGTGATGCACTCACCTCAGTCTCCCAAAGTTCTGGGATTGCAGGCGGGAATTCAGTCCATTTTATCACTGAGAGGTAGCTCATCTGTGTGAATGTACCACAGTTTGCTCATCTATTCACCAGCTGGAGGACATTTGGGTTTACAGATTGTGGTGGCTGTGAATAAAGCCACTGTAAACATTTGCATATATGGATTAGTGTGAATGCAAATACTAAGTTTTTATTTTTCCCAAGTAAATTCCTAGAGGTTGAAATTGCCTGGGCAAATGGTAAGTGTATATTTTACTTGATAAGGAGCTCCCAAACTGTTTCCCAAGGTGGCCTAGCGCGTGCCTCCCACCAGCATTCCAGAGGAGCCTCAACCTAGCCACCACGTGGAGTGCTCAGTTTCATTTTAAAGCCGTTCTAATAGGTGTGCAATGATCAGATGCCGTGGCTCATGCCTGTAATTCCAGCAGTTTGCAGGCCGAGGTGGGTGAATCACTTGAGGTCAGGAGTTTGAGACCAGCCCAGCCAGTATGGTGAAACCCCATCTCTACTGAAAACACAAAAATTAGCTAGGTGTGGTAGTACATGCCTGTAATCCCAGCTACTCAGGAGGCTGAGTAAGGCAGGGAAATTGTTTGAACCTGGGAGGCAGGTTGCGCCACTGCTCTCCAGCCTGAGTGACAAGACCGAGACTCCCATCTCAAAAACAAAAAAATTAAAAAATAACCTAATAGGTGTGTGATGCGATCTCGTAGTGGCTTCAGTTTGCATTTCCTTAATTAATATCTGAGCATTTTCTATGTTCTTGTTTGCCATCCAGAATCAACTTTGATGAAATATCTTTTCAAATCTACCCATTTTAAATTTTAATTTTAATCTATTTATTTATTTAGAGAGCAGCCAGGTTTTGTATTTTTGGTAGAGATGAGTTTTCCCTGTATTGCCAAGACTGGTCTTGAACTCCTGGGTTCAAGTTATCCTCCTGCCTGGCCTCCCAAAGTCCTGGAATTACGGGTCTGAGCCACTGTGCCCAGCCTTTATTACTGAATTTTTGAGAATTCTTTATATAGTCTGGATGGGAGTTCTTTATCAGATAGATGTTTGGTAAATATTTTCCTCTAGCAGGGCCTTTTTTTCCTCCCACCTCGTTTTCTTAACAGTATCCTTGAAAGAACTACCAGCATCTTTTGAAGACATAAATTGAACTTCAGGTAAACATAATTCATTGCATCTTAGCATTTATTTTCCAGCTGGAGTTTGAATTCCTCGTGCTGATTTTGAACAAACCATTAGTTCAGTTTGTTTCTGTTTTTATATTTTTTCAGTTCAGATTTTAAAAAGAACTTCCCCCACTTATTAACCAGATTTGAATGGTTTTTTTTTTTTTTTTTTTTTCCCCAGGAAATTGGATACACTCATATGAAAATAGCAGAAGGAGTGAACTCCCTTTTGCAGATGGCAGGCCTCCTGGCCAGGCTGTGTCAGAAGACAATGGCCCCGGTGGCCAGTTAGAGCAGAGACTTCGCTGACCGACTTACAGGTGCCCTATCCTGAGATGCAAGAGCTTCGGTCTTCCGATGGGGGAAAAATGCCGCCTCAGGCTGGAGCCAGCATGACCGCCCTTTAAACTTCCATGGCTGGCTGGGCTTGGTGGCTCACGCCTGTAATCCTAGCACTTTGGGAGGCCGAGGTGGGTGGATCACCTGAGGTCAGGAGTTTGAGACCAGCCTGACCAACATGGAGAAACCCTGTCTCTGCTAAAAATACAAATATTAGCTGGATGTGGTGTCTAGCGCCTGTAATCCCAGCTACTCAGGAGGCAGAGGCAGGAGAATCCCTTTTTCCCAGGTGGTGGAGGTTGCAGTGAGCCAAGATCACACCCTTGCACTCCAGCCTGGTAACAGAGACTCCATGTAAAAAAAAAAAAACAACAACCAGTTACTAAACTCCCGTGGTTTTCATGTTTACTTGTGGGCCCTCTGAGCCCCTCCAGTGTTTGCATTCAGCCTCTGCCTCAGTGACGCGGTGGCGGGGCGGAAAGACCCAGAGAAGCTGAGGGCGGTGCCTGGTCGGTGTGCGAGTTGACATTTTAGCTGATTGAGCCTTGCCTTGTTTGTCGGCAATAAAGTGACCACGTGAAGCCTCGAGGAAAGCCAGCTTCCTGTCTCTGCCGGCCTTTGCAGCCTACAGGTAGGAAAGGCGATTAGATCATAGACCCAGAGCTCATCTTGGTTTCTTTTATTTTTTTCTTTTATTTATTTTTGTCACACACACTGCCTGGGTATGAACTTAGTTCATCTCAGTTCTTCAAGAAGCCTGAAGGGACCACTTCCCCGGGGTGCGGGCAGGGTTTGCTGTCATATCCTATTTAGACCGACTTCTCAGAGTGGCCAGGCGGTGAGCCTTTGAGAGAGCGAGCCCTGGGGAAACGCTGTGGCGCCTTTCCTATGTTCCAGAGTGTGCCTTTCGCGCTGGCTATAGAATTCCCCAGAGAATTTCATATTAACTTGTAGAAATGCCTTTTTTTTTTTTTGTAAGATACTATTTTTTTTCTGTTTTTGATTTGTTTTGATTTTTGAGATAGGGTGTTACTCTGTCGCCCAGGCTAGAGTGTAGTGGGCCAGTCATGGCTCACTGCAGCCTCAGACCTCCTGGGCTCAAGTGATCCTCCCACCTCGGCCTCCCGAGTAGCTGGGACTACGGGCATGCACCACGATGCCCAGCTAACTTTTTAATTTTTTGTAGAAATGGGGTCTCACACTGGGTGCAGTGGCTTACACCCGTAGTCCCAGCATTTTGGGAGGCTGAGGTGGGCGGATCACAAGGTCTGGAGTTCAAGACCAGCCTGGCCAACATGGTGAAACCTCGTCTCTACTAAAAATACAGAAAATTAGCTGGATATGGTGGCGCGTACCTGTAATCCCAGCTGCTCGGTAGGCTGAGGCAGGAGAATTGCTTGAACCAGGACCTGGGAGGTGGAGGTTGCGGTGAGCCGAGATCACACCACTGCATTCCAGCCTGGGCTACAGACCAAGACTCCATCTCAGAAAAAAGAAATGGGGTCTTGCAATATTGCTGGGACTGGTCTCATGCTCCTGGCCTCAAGTGATCCTCCCACCTCAGCCTCCCAAAGTGCTGGCATTATAGATGTGAGCCACCATGCCTGGCCCATTTCAGTACAGTGGCTCATGCCTATAATCCCAGCACTCTGGGAGGCAAGGCCGGTGGATCACATGAGGTTAAGGGGTTCCAGGCCAGCCTGGCCAACGTGCCAAACCCCATCTCTACTAAAAATACAAAATTAGCCAAGCATGGTGGCGCACGCCTGTAATCTGAGCTACTCAGGACGCTGAGGCAGGAGAATTGCTTGAACCCGGAGCTGGGAGGTGGAGGTTGCAGTGAGGCAAGATGGCGCCACTACACTCCAGCCTGGGCGACAGTGAGACTCCCGTCTCACAAAAAGAAAGAGAAACTTGCTCCTGAGTTTGTGCAATCAGTCCTTCAGGGTGTGAAGTAACAGGCAGGCGACAGTTGGGTTCTAGATGTTTTTTCTGATTTCCTAATTTACCGTGATAATTTCTTCTCAAGGGAAGAATCCCTGGGCCATCCCAGAAAGACACCTGGACTTGGAGACCAAGGTCCCATCTGCAGCCCTAATGCTCTCAGGGTCTCTTTATTTTTATTTTTTGGTAGAGACAGGGTTTCACCATTTAGGCCAGGCTGATTTTGAACTCCTGACCTCAGGTGATCCACCCGCCTCGGCCTCTCAAAGTGCTCGGATTACAGGCGTGAGCCACCATGCCCGGCCGGGGTTTCTTCTTATTAAACAAGAGCTGTGGCTGTCAGTCCTTTAAGGTTTTGTGTTTTGTTTTGCTTTTTGAGACGAGGTCTCCCTCTCGCCCAGACTAGAGTACGGTAGTGCAGTCACAGCTCACTGCAACCTTCTCCTGGGTTCAAGCAGTTTTCCTGCCTCAGCCTTCCAGGTAGCTCAGACTACAGGCATGCGCTACCAAGCCCGGCTAATGTTTGTATTTTTTATACAGACGGGTCTTGCTATGTCGGCCAGGCTGGTCTTGAACTCCTAGGCTCAAAGAATCCTCCCGCCTTGCCCTCCCAAAATGCTGGGATTCCAGGTGTGAGTCACCGCACCCGGCCCCTTAAAAGGTTTTTTTTTTTTACCTGAAGCAGGGGAAAGCAGACACGGGATAATCATGACTTTTAAACTAAAACGGTTTTATTGAGATGATTTGGTTGGAGGAGACGCTTTTTCTGGCAGCATTTCTGACTCAGAAGGTCCCTTCAGGCCCACACTCTTCCCGTGAGACAGTCACATCACTGTCCAATCAGCTCTGCAGAGGCCAGCCCTGGAGCAGAGGAGGACTGGGGGCCGCGGCGAGGCCCTGCTGCGCTCCGTTCTGGTCAGTGCTTCTCTAGGCTCTAGAACTGTGCTGTAGTCCTTAGCAATTGACATTCCCACTGGAAGTTCATAAAGATGGCAGCAGCCTCATTTCTTCCTAAGTGAACTGAGGCCCCGAGGAAGGGGAGGGCCCCACCTACCCAGGATGGTGAAATCAACTACATGTAATGCTTTCTAAGAGACAAGACAGAAATCTCTAAATCCAGAATATTAAATATGGCTCCCCCTCTATAAGTTAACTGTCCAAGCTTATCCTTAAAAACCCCAGCAACCAACAGTAGCAATTAGGAATCCAAATTCATAGCAAAAAAAGGACACAGATACCAGTGTCGGAGAATGGTTTGGTTACGGGGACAGGGTGACAGCTTATCCTAAATCCTGGGCATCCATCATCCACACCCGGAGCCCGGTTACCCTCGGCAGCAGGTGCCTGCCCCGCAAAGCGACAGCTTGGTGGCAGGGCTGCAGCTCCCACGAGTAACTGTCCTTTCCCGGGCTGTGTGTCCATGGCCAGGTGGTCCTTCCAGGAGCTGTGATTGCAGTGGGCTTGAAAACTGAGTAGCTCTGGGAAATGGTCCTCGGAAGGCAGCGACAGGTCCGGGAGCGCAGCGGTCCCCTGTGCTCTTCGCCTTGGCTTCTGGAGTGAAGAGGAAAGGTGAGGTTTGTCTTGATCACTATTCTGTTCTGAGAACCAGAGCCACTGGTTTGGGGACAGCATTGAGCCTGCCTGCTGGCTGAGAACAGAACCCGTCCATCAATCACTGGGTTTCTTTTCTTTTTTATTTCATTTTTGTGGAGAACAGGGTCTCACTATATTGCCAAGGCAGATCTTGAACTCCTGGGCTCAAGCTGTCGTCCTGCCTCTGCCTCCCTAAGAGCTGGGATTACGGGTGTGAGCCACTGCGCCCGGCCTGCCTCCCTCCCTCCCTCCCTTCCCTTCTTCCTTTCCTCCCTTCCGTTTTGCTCTTCTTGCCCAGGCTGGAGTGCAGCGGCATGATCTTGGCTCACTGCAACCTCCGCCTCCTGGGTTCAAGCGATTCTCCTGCCTCAGCCTCTCAAGTAGCTGGGACTACAGGCGTGCACCACCACGCCCGGCTAATTTTTGTATTTTTAGTAGAGACGGGGTTTCACCTTGTTGACCAAGATGGTCTCAATCTCTTTTTTTTTTTTTTTTTTTTTGAGACGGAGTTTCACTCTTGTTACCCAGGCTGGAGTGCAAGGGCGCGATCTCGGCTCACCGCAACCTCCGCCTCCTGGGCTCAGGCAATTCTCCTGCCTCAGCCTCCTGAGTAGCTGGGATTACAGGCACGCGCCACCATGCCCAGCTAATTTTTTGTATTTTTAGTAGAGACGGGGTTTCACCATGTTGACCAGGATGGTCTCGATCTCTCGACCTTGTGATCCACCCGCCTCGGCCTCCCAAAGTGCTGGGATTACAGGCTTGAGCCACCGCGCCCGGCCGGTCTCAATCTCTTGACCTCGTGATCCACCCGCCTCAGCCTCCCAAAGTGCTGGGATTACAGGCTTGAGCCACCGCGCCCGGCCTACTTTTTATATTTTTAGTAGGGACGGGGTTTTACCATGTTGGCCAGGCTGGTCTCGAACTCCTGACCTCAGATGATCTGTCCACCTCAGCCTCCCAAAGTGGTGGAATTACAGGCGTGAGCCACCGTGCCTGGCCTCTTTTGTTTGTTTTTGTTTCAAGAGAGAGTCTCGTTCTGTTGCCCAGGCTGGAGTGTAGTGGTGCAGTCACAGCTCGCTGCAGCTCAGCCTCCTGGGCTCAAGCTAGACTCCCACCTCGCCTCCAGGTAGCTAGGCCTACACGTGTGTGCCACCACACCTGGCAAATGATTTTGCATATTTTGTAGAGATAGCATTTCACCATGTTTCTCACCCCTGTCTCCACTGCTGCCACCCCTGGCACAGATGGTACCCATGCCTGGGTCCTTTCTGGACTTCCTGTCCCCACTCTCCCAGTACCCATTTTCCCACCAGCCAGAGAAATTGAATTAAAATAAAAACATCCAGCTGGTCTTCTATCCAAAACCTTCCCATTGGCTGGGTAGAGCGTCTCACACCTACCCAGCACTTTGGGAGGCTGAGGCCAGAAGATTGCTTGCGCCCAGGAGTTCAGCCGGGCAACATAGCAATACCCTGTCTCTCAAAAAAGAAAAAGAAAACCAGCCAGGCGTGGTGATTCACGCCTGTAATCCCAGCATTTTGGGGGGTTGAAGTGGGTGGATCACCTGAGGTCAGGAGTTCGAGATCAGCCTGGCTAATGTGGTGAAACCTGATCTCTACTAAAAATGCAATGGCCTGGCGCAGTGGCTCACTCCTGTAATACTAGCACTTTGGATGGCCGACGCAGGCAAATCACTGAGTTCAGGAGTTCAAGATCAGCCTGGCCAACATGGTGAAACCCCATCTCTCACCACTGCACTCCAGGCTGGGTGACAGAGTGACACACTCTGAAAAAAATACAAAATTAGCTGGGCATGGTGGCAGGTGCCTGTAATCCCAGCTATGTGGGAGGCTGAGGCAGGAGAATCGCTTGAACCTGGGAGATGGAGGTTGCAGTGAGCTGAATCGCACCACTGCACTCCAGCCTGGAAAACAGGAGCAGAACTCTTATCTCAAAAAACAAACCAAAAACCACCTTTGTAGCCCCCTCCCTCCCTCCCCTCTCATGCAGGAAAACCCAAGTGCTGGCCCTGCCCGTCAGCCTCCCCCGCTCTGGCCTCCGCCTCCACTAGTCTCTGCTCAGCTCCTCCTCAGCCCCTGGCTTTGCTCAGACCCGTGGGGCTCACTCTACCCTGGGGCCTCTGCTGTCCCCTCTGCCTGGATGTCCTTCCCCCCGACGGGGTGAGGAAGGGAGGTCCGAAAGGCTTCCCTGGCCTCCTTAAATTGCAACACCCCGTCTTGCCCACAGCCCCCACACTACTTCCTGCACCCCCCCCCCCGCCCTGCTTGATTTCTCTGCCGGACCTACCACCGGTGGACGTGCCCTGTCTTCCTGTACCCACACACGCAGCTGTTCCCTTGGACTGGGGGTCTTGCAGCCTGGAAGACCTCTAACCCCTTGGCCCACAGCAGCTGGAGAGCAGGGGCCTACCTTCCTTCTGGGTCTATCCTAGGCTTCTGAGACCGCCACCACCTCGTTCACGTAATCCGGTTCCCCATCCTCCTCATCTGGGCCGGCCAGGCCAGGGGATGCTTCTCTCTGGACTTGCCCTGCAGACCAGTGGGCAGACAGGCCATTGAGTGGTTCACGTGGACGCACCCATGACTGTTCCCCCAACTGGGGTGCCGGGCTCAGACCCCAGACTCCACAAAACAGCCTGTGAGAAATGCCATGCCAGGCAGGTCCTGGCCGTGTGTGTCTCCCGTCTGGGATTTGCCAGAGATCGTCCTGCTCTGAGAGAAGGTGGAACGTGTTACTGCGTGCATGCAGCTGGCGGAGGTTGCAGTGAGCTGAGATCGTGCCACTGCACTCCAGCCCCCGGTGATGATGGGGTCCTCCCTGCAGAGAGGGAGGATAGGACCCCTTGGCCCACTCCCACTGAGGCTCCAGGAGCCAATGAAGTCTCTGAGGATGCGCCCTGCCTGGGAGGACCTGACCCCACCCTGGAGGCCAGGGCAGCTGCCGAGGGCCGTCAGGCGGGGTTCAAGGTCTCTGCAGCTGCTCCTGCACCCCAGGCGTCACTGCGGGGTCAGCTGGACTGGCTGGAGGAAAGCCCCACTCAGCCCCGCCCTCCCAGGCCAGTCCCTCAAGCCTGCCCTAAGTGGGCCGACCATCCTGCGTCGTCCCCCCGGCCACCTACCCATAGCCCTCCTGGACTCTCGCCACTGACGGATGGATGCTGAGTTCTGATAATCCTCGGATTCCTCCTCCTCTTCCAGGGGCACAGAGGGACAGGGACTGTGTTCTCCGCAGAGGCCACCTGTGCCCTCCTGCTGGGCACCTGCAGAGAGGAAGGATAGGCCCCCCCTTGGCTCAGTCCCACTGAGGTGCCAGCAGCCGACGGAGCCTCCTCCAAGGATGCTGGGGGCAAGGCTCTACCCAAAGACACCCTGGGGATCCGAGAGCCTTCAGGCTTCAAGGTGGGGCGGCCTTTGATCAATGGGGCGTGCAGGGACACCTGGCCAAGTGATCTGCTGCTCCCGGCCCCAGCCTGACCCCGGCTGGGCGGCCTTACCTGGCTCTGTCGTTTTCTGCTTGCAAATGAGCACATTCTCGTAGGAGTTGGCATCATCATCTGCAGGAGAGAGGGGAGTGGGCATGGAGCAGTGCAGACTCTGAAAGACCTGGCTCATCCTCCTCTGTCCTGCTCTCCCACCGAGCCCTAGATCTCTGGGTACCTGAGCGACCTCAAGCCTTCTGGAAGAGCTTCCTAATGGGCACTGGCCTGACACCCTGCAGGCTTTTCCCTGAGCTCTTTTTCTTTTTTTTTTTCTTTTTTTTCTTTTTTTTTTTTTGTGGAGACAGGGTCTCGCTGTCACCCAGGCTGGAGAGCACTGGCAAAGTCATAGCTCACTGCAGCCTCCAATTCCTGGCTCAAGCGATCCACCCCTCAGCCTTCTGAGTAGCTGGGACTACAGGCATGCACCACCATGCCCAGCTAACTTTAAAATTTTTGTTCGTAGAGAGAGTATCTCACTATGTTGCCCAGGCAGGTCTAGAACCTCTAAGCTTAAGTGATCTTCCCAAAGTGCTGCGATTACAGGCATGAGTCACTGTGCCAAGCATCCTTCTCTGTCTTCTAAGAGCCCCTTCAAATGCATTGGGGAGGGGGCACTTGGGGAGAGGTTTGCAATTCAGGCCCACGGTGGGTGGCTGGAAGGAGGAAGGGAGGTGGAGGCAGCTCAGAGGCTCATCTCTATGGGGCAATGGGGCAATCAGGAGCTCTCCCTAGAGCCACTGCCGGGAGGGGGCTGGACTCCTAGATAGCGCAGGGTGGGCTTGGGATGCTTTTCTTGGGGACCCAGGCTGAGTATGGCATCTCTCCTGGCACCCCATCTTGGCCCTGTAATGGGGAAGCTGGGCTCTGACCGATGCCTCGCCTGATGTCCATCAGTAACGACGGGGTCCTAAGAAATAGGCACTGCCAGCAGGGCGCAGTGGCTCACACCTGTAATCCCAGCCCTTTGGGAGGCCGAGGCAGGAGGTGAGGAGTTCGAGACCAGCCAGGCCAACACAGTGAAACCCTGTCTCTACTAAAAATATAAAAAATGAGCCAGGTGTGGTGGCGTGTGCCTGTAATCCCAGCCACTTGGGAGGCTGAAGCAGGAGAATCGCTTGAACCCAGGAGGCAGAGGTTTCAATGAGCCAAGATTGCACCATTGCACTCCAGCCTGGGTGACAGAGGGAGACTCCGTCTCAAATGAAAAAAAGTGGAGGTGGCAGTGGTGGGGGCAGAAGAGGACCCCCGAACACCTACGCCGGCACGGCCCAGGTGGGAGCCGGGCCCCTGCTCCTCTCAGCACGCACCGCCCACACTCACTCCTCTGTTGCCCTTTTATTGAGATGAAGTCTTGCTCTGTCGCCCAGGCTGGAGTGCAATGGCATAACAGCTCACTGTAACCTCCACCTCTTGGGTTCATGCGAGTCTCCTGTCTCAGTCTCCCGAGTAGCTGGGATGACAGGCATGTGCCACCACCATGTCCAGCTACATTTTTTGCATTTTTATATAGATGCGGTTTCACCATGTTGGCCAGGCTGGTCTCGAACTCCAGACCTCAAATGATCCACCCACCTCGGCCTCCCAAAGTGCTGGGATGTTGGGATTATAGGCATGAGCCACTGCGCCCGGCGTCTCAGCTGCCCTTTCTATAAAGCAAAAGCATTCAGGGCCCAAGGCTCTGGTGGTCTCAGCCTGCAGGGATTACTGTCCTTGGTGGGCTCTGGGCTCATCAGGAGATGCTCAGTCCTTGTTAGGGACCTGGTCTCCCCCGACCTCCCTGAGCCAGCCCTCTAGTTCCCTGCCCCTGTGGCCCACTCGTCTCTCCCACGCCCTGTGCCCACGGCTCCCTCACTGACCCACCTGCCCCCTGGCCCTCCTTGGCCCCTGCCTGCAGCGACAGCCTCCTGTCCACCCGCCCGTCTCTGCCACTTCACCCGAACCCGAGCCCAGCCTCCTCTCCTGCCCGGAGTGTGGCTTCTGTCCCAAGGTCCCACATCACTTCCTCCCCCGCCTCCGGCTTCTTCCTCCACCTCACCTTCGGGGGGCTTTGGGAACCGCCCCCAGTTGTAATACTCCATGGCAATGGGGTCTCTGGCCAAGAGAACAGACAGCACAGGTTTCCGGACAGGCTGGAGGGTGGGGTGGGAGGCCTCACGGGGGCGGCGAGGCCAGGGCTGCTCACACTATTGCTCTTTTTGGGGGTTGTGGGGACTCGGCCAGGATCTCCTCTCTGATTGCCCCACCCCCACGCCCTGGAGCCACCTGCTTTTTTTTTTTTTTTTTTTTTTTTGAGAGAGAGTCACTCTGTCACCCAGGCAGGAGTGCAGCGGCGCTATCTCAGTTCACTGCAACCTCCGCCTCCTGGGTTCAAGCAATTCTCCTGCCTCAGCCTCCTGAGTAGCTGGGATTACAGGTGTGCGCCACCACGCCCGGCTAATTTTTATATTTTTCTAGATTCGGGTCTTCACCATATTGGTCAGGCTGGTCTTGAACTCCTGGCCTCAGGTTACCCGCCTGCCTCAGCCTCCCAAAGTGCTGGGATTACACACCCCGTGTCCCAGAGCAGGGCCAAGTCTGGTCCCACAAAGCCAGGGTCACCTGAGAGTCAGCAGGGCCACCCAAGGCCTGCCTGCCAGAAGGAGGGGAACCTGGACCCCGAGTTCTAGGGCTAGAGGCGGTTCCTAGACCAGGAAGCCCAGGGCCATGCGGGCAGGTGGGGCAGTGGGAGAGGCGGGGCCACTCACACGTAGGCATCCTCCGACCCGTGTCTGCTTCCTGCGGGAGGAGGCGAGAATCGGGCCTGAGCCCCTGGGCTGCAGCCCCACCGTGGCCTCCCCGTCTCCCCGGGAGCCCACCTACCTTTGCTGAAGTTCTGGTACCTGGGAGATGCTGGATCTGGAAGAAAGAAGGCCCAGCTCATCACCTGCTCCCTGGCCCCGGCTTTCCACCCGGCTCGGGCTCCATGGTCCAAGGCGGAGCAAGGCGTTCCCTCGGTCTGAGCCTTTGCCATGCTCCCTGGCCCCTCTGTCGGGCATGTGCGGGTGCTCACCCTCCCTGGGCCAGGCCGCCCCGCCCAGCCTATGTGTCTCCCCTGGCCCCACAGCCGCCACTGCACGAGGCCTGCCCCCCGAGGTGTTGGCCTTAGTCCCAGCTTGGCTAGGCCTGTCCCCGTCCCTGCCCTGTGCCACTCACCCTCCAGGCTGGGGCAGAACTGCAGCAGCTTGTCCTTCCTGCAGGGAGGGGAATTGAAGGAGGGACTGTAGGGGAGAGGCCGCCAGGACACATCCCCCAGTCCCCTGGTGGGGCCGTCATAGTTGAGCCCTGGGGCTCTGGGGCCAGGGGAGGGAGGGAGCGAGGTCTTGGCCTGGGTTCACCACGTGGGGACCTCCAGGACCTACTTTTCTTGTCACATCCTGGGGGCTGTGACCTACCTTGCGGGTGCCGTGTCCGCCAGGGCTCCTGGCCATGCCTGCCCGACCACTGCAAAGCACAGGAAATGTGGTGTTGGCTGGGCCCCTCACGCCATCGCCCGTGCCCCACGTCAGGCTGGCCACGGTGTCAGGGCAATGGGGACTCAGAGAACTGAACAAGGACACCCCCCAACCCAGAGCCCAGCCCGGGACCCTTGGAGACTCACAGGAGTAGGTCTGGGACCCCATAAAGCTCTGTTGGTCCTCATGCCTGGAAACACAAAGGTTTTGCTGAGCCTGGGCCTGGCCTCCCAGAGCCCAGGGACACAGAGATGGGGGAGGTGGATGGGGACAAGGAGGGAGAGCAAAGGGACAGACCCGGGCAACAGTGGGGAGGAACTGCTGCCCTTTCAGGCCTCAGACTCTCAGCTCCCCCTGCAACCCCCATTCTCTCGTCCCTCTGCACACGGGGTGCCCACCGCTCACACAGGGCCCTGGGCTGGAGCCCCGCTCTCAGCAGCCCCATCCTCAACGGGCCTGCTGGGGGGTCCCAGGCCCCTGGAGATGGTCAGAGGGGTCTGTGGACAGGGCTGGGGAGGCAGCCCTGAGATCCTGGGGCATGAGGGTGAATAAAGACCTGCTCGGGCCCATCGGTGACTTGGGGTGAATTACTTCAGCCAGGAGTGACAAAGGCTGCCTCCCACCTGCTGGTACCAGGGGGTGTTTTCAATTCCTTAAAATAGCACACGCGGCCGGGCGCGGTGGCTCACGCCTGTAATCCCAGCACTTTAGAAGGCTGAGGCAGGTGAATCACTTGAGGTCAGGAGTTCGAAACCAACCTGGCCAACATGGGGAAACCCCATCGCCACTACAAATAGAAAAAAAAATTAGCCAGGCATGGTGGGTGCCTGTAATTCCAGTTAGGAGGCTGAGGCAGCAGAAACACTTGAACCCAGGAGGCAGAGGCTGCAGTGAGCCGAGATCATGCCACTGCACTCCAGCCTGGACAACACAGTGAGACTCCATCTCAAAAAAAACAGCACATGCTCTGGGGACATTCAAACCCACCATTTACTTCCAAATAACTGGCAAGACAAGTTCAAGGCTTAGCAGACCCAGCTAAGTGCCCAGCCGCTGCCTGGTCTTTCTTCCTTTCAGAAGAAACTTTGATTTTTATTTAGACAGCCTGTGCTCGTGTAAAAGGCTATCCTGGCCAGTGCGGTGCCTCACGCCTGTAATCCCAGCACTTTGGGAGGCCGAAGTGGGTGGATCGCGAGGTCAGGAGTTCAAGACCAGCCTGGCCAAGATGGTGAAACCCCGTCTCTACTAAAAATAAAAATATATGTATTAGCCAGGCATGGTGGCGCACGCCTGTAATCCCAGATACTTGGGAGGCTGGGGCAGAAAATTGCTTGAACCTGGGAGACGGAGGTTGCAGTGAGCGAAGATCGTGCCACTGCACTCCAGCCTGGGCAACAGAGCAAGACTCCATCTCAAAGCCGGTTTTGGGGCTCCTCCGCTGAACCAAAATGGGTACCGGGCCCAACCTTCCAGGAGCTCCCGGAGAGCTGGGGCTCGGGGTGGCCTCCTTTGGGAGAGACCCTAAATCCACAGAGTCAGACGTGGCTTCCTGGGAAAAGCAACGCAGGAGCTGGGCCTGTGCTCACATCAGTCACTTCACGCTGGCTGGTCGGACCGAACCCAACCGAGGTAACAGATGGAGAGACAGGCAAAGGCCTTCCAGGGAGGGGACCCAACAGCCCCCCTCCCCCGACATGGGGACCTGTGGTGGTCTGGCCTTGACCATCTATGGCTCTGAGATCAATCATGGGGCCAGGGATGGGCAGGGCCTGAGGGAAGAGGGGAGAGGGGACGCGTCCGAGGAGTCAAGGGCGTGGGGGACGCTGGGGGAGGTCACAGGCAGGCCAGAAACCATGTGGCCAGAAAGGCTGCAGAAAGGTCTAGGCCTGGCCCATGGTGAGCAAGGCTGGGAAGATTCTATTTTCAAATCTCACTGTGGTTTTTCAGTTGCAAAAGGAAATGAGGAAGGATGTGTGTGCGTGCGTGCATGCGTGGGTGGGTCATGAGTGACTGCTCGGGGGTGAACATGGGCCTCCGGGTTCTCTGAGCCTGCGGTCAATCATTCTATTTCTTTCTTTCTTTCTTTCTTTCTTTTTTGTTTTTGAGATGGAGTTTCACTCTTGTTACCCAGGCTGGAGTGCAGTGGTGTGATCTCGGCTCACCAAAACCTCCACCTCCCGGGTTCAAGCGATTCTCCTGCCTCAGCCTCCCAAGTAGATGAGGTTACAGGCATGCGCCACCACACGCAGATAATTTTTGTATTTTTAGTAGAGACGGGGTTTCTCCATGTTGGTCAGGCTGGTCTCGAACCCCCAACCTCAGGTGATCCGATCGCCTCGGCCTCCCAAAGTGCTGGGCTTACAGGCGTGAGCCACTGCACCCAGCCAGATGCCTGGACTTCTAGAGGGCTTCACAGGCAAGCAGAAGAGTGGCTAGCCCCACAGCCCAGGCATCCCCGCTTCCCAAAGCCCCCCCAACCCAAGCTGCAGCAGGGCCTGGAGAGCGTCTGGGCACTTCCTGTCCCTTCTCTGATGGCTAGGGACTGGCTAGAGCCTGGCACAGAGGTGTGAGTGAAAGGGTGGAGGACGGGGGTGCCAGGAATTCCCTCGGGGACACCCCTGCCCAGGGTACATGAATACACCAGGCTAGGGACATCGAGGTTACTCACAGACTTCTCTGCTGGTAGATTTTCTCAGACCTTTTTGCACCTGCGAAAACAAGCCAGGATTAGCAGGGGTCCAGGAGCTCCTGTGATCTGAGGTCAGGCACTCCCTGCGTGTCTTGTGTCCCAGCAGCACTTGGGGCCAAGCTGTCAATCACCAGCCACCTGATATTAAAGAATATTTGGGGCCAGGTGTGGTGGCCCCAGCACTTTGGGAGGCGAAGGTGGGAGGATCACCTGAGGTCAGCAGTTTGAGACCCGCCTGGCCAACATGGCGAAACCCCATCTCTACCAAAAATGCAGAAATTAGTTGGGCATGGGGGCAGGCGCCTCTAACACCAGCTACTCGGGAGGCTGGGGCAGGAGAACTGCTTGAACCCAGGAGTTGGAGGTTGCAGTGAGCTGAGATTGTGCCACTGCACTCCAGCCTGGGTGACGGAGCAAGACTGTCTCCAGAAAAAAAAAAAAAAAAAAAAAAGTAGGCCGGGCGCGGTGGCTCAAGCCTGTAATCCCAACACTTTGGGAGGCCGAGGCGGGTGGATCACGAGGTCGAGAGATCGAGACCATTCTGGTCAACATGGTGAAACCCCGTCTCTACTAAAAGTGCAAAAAATTAGCTGGGCATGGTGGCACGTGCCTGTAATCCCAGCTACTCAGGAGGCTGAGGCAGGAGAATTGCCTGAACCCAGGAGGCGGAGGTTGCGGTGAGCCGAGATCGCGCCATTGCACTCCAGCCTGGATAACAAGAGCGAAACTCCGTCTCAAAAAAAAAAAAAAAAAAAAAGTATTTGCTCAGAGTAGAGGTTGGAAAAGCGGACGCCACAGGCAGCCCCGTTTCCCCTCCTTGGGGTCAATTTCTCTGGCCCAAGACACCGCAGCTGACCCAGCAAAGCCAGCGCCCCAGGTGCACGTGACCATTGTCTTCAGGGGGCAGTTTATGGGTTCAGGGGTCACTTCAGGAGGGTCATCGGCCTCTTCTGACCGCAGCTGGGTCTGGGCTGACGGGGTCTCTGGGATGCACCGCCCATGCTTCTCTCCAGCACGCCCCGGGCCCCCGCCTACCTAGACGTGAGCAGCGCGCACACAGGCTGGCCGCCACCCCCAGCAGCACCAGCAGTGCAGCCCCGGGCCACAGCAGTTCAGTCCCTGGGCTCATGCCGGCTCCTGGTGTCACCTCCTGTGGTTCTGAGATGGGGGGTGCCTGTGAGCAAGGGAACCCGTTTTCAGGAATCCCACCTCATGCCCCCACTGTACCGGAACAGTCACATCGCTGAGTCCAGGCTGTGGAAACACCACCTCCCCTTCTGGCGTCTGGCCCAGCCCAGCATCACCCTTGATAAATGCTGCAAGGTTCTGGGGGCCCACAAGATACCCCCACGTGCACAGCCGCAGCCCTACACACAGCCTCACTTAATCCAGACAACCGCCCTTTGAAGGTCAAGTTCACTGCCTTTCACAAATCTAGAAACTGAAGCCAGAGAGCTCACGTCTGCTAAGTGGAAAGACGGGATTCAGGCCGTAGCATCCTGCCCCAAACCCTGGCTCTGCCCATCACATCCGTTCCTCTAGTAAACCCACCCTGGCTCCTGGGGGTGACAGTCACAGTCTGTGGCCACTGCCCATGCAGAAGCACCCGGAAGCCCCCACTCATCCCAGGGCAACTCAGGGCTCCTCTCTGCCCACCTCCTGCCTGGGGGTCCCCCTGAGGCCCACCCAAGACCTGGGAATGGGACTTCCATTCCTGAAACAACTGCAAGCCCAGATTCTGCCTGTGGTGAGAGCTGGGAGGAGGGGAGTCAGGGAAGGCTTCTTGGAGGAAGTGGCCCAAGAGCATGAGGTGGAGAAAGGTAGGCTGCACGCACTGGCTCACACCTCTAATCCCAGCACTTTGGGAGGCTGAGGTGGGCGGATCACAGGGTCAGGAGATGGAGACCATCCTGGCCAACATGGTGAAACCCTGTCTCTGCTAAAAATACAAAACAATTGTTGGAGCGTGGTGGCTGGCGCCGGTAGTCCCAGCTACTCGGGAGGCTGAGGCAGGAGAATTGCTTGAACCCAGGAGGCGGAGATGGCAGTGAGCTGAGATTGTGCCACTCCGCTACAGCCTGGGCGACAGTGCGAGATTCTGTCTCAAAAGAAAAGAAAAGAAAAAGTTGATCCGCAGAGGGATGAGGCCCAGGGCCCTGCTGCAGGTGTCTGGAGGGGATGCCAAGGCTGGGCTGGAGACTCGACGTTGTAGGGAGGGGGCCTGAATCCCTGGCTGGCACCTGGCCGGCTGGCTTCTTGGTCTGTGACTGGTCCCAGCCTTGAAACCTCAGCGTGATGACCAGGCCTCAGCAGACACATGCACACCACACACCGAGGCCTGGTGGATGGAAGCGCAGCCCTCTCGAGTGGGCTTCCAAGAACTGTTGCAACCATAAACAGCCCCAGGCCAGGCGCAGTGGCTCACGCCTGTAATCCCAGCACTTTGGGAGGCTGAGGCGGGGAGGATCCCTTGAGGTCAAGAGTTTGCGACCAGCCTGGGCAACACTGTGAAATTCCATCTCTACAAAAAATACAAAAGAAAATAGCCAGGCACGGTGGTGTGTGCCTGTCGTCCCGCTACTTGGGAGGCTGAGGCGGGAGGATCACTTGAGCCCAGGGATGTTGAGGCTGCAGTGAGCTGTGATTGTGTCACTGCACTCCAGCCTGAGCAGTAGAGGAGACTTTATTTCAAAAAATAAGGAGACCTGGTCCCCTGGAGATGGCCAGGGACCGAGTTGAGGGTGGTGGGGTCTCGGAAGGGGCCGGGCATGGCAGGCATTTGTGGAGCCAGCACTCCTGAGTGTCCACCCTGCTTCCACTGTGCGCGTCCCGTCCTGGCCACCAGTGAGGGCTTCTCCCCACCCCACAGCTGGGGAAGATGAGGCTGGGAGCAGTAAACAGTATTTCCAGCCGGGCGAGGTGGCTCACGCCTGTAATCCCACCACGTTGGGAGGCCGAGGTGGGCAGATCACAAGGTCAGGAGTTCTAGACCATCCTGGTGAAACCTTGTCTCTACTAAAAATACAACAAATAGCCAGGCGTGGTGGGGGCCCCCTGTAGTCCCAGCTACTCGGGAGACTGAGGCAGGAGAATCGCTTGAACCCAGGAGGCGGAGGTTGCAGTGAGCCGAGAGCGCGCCATTGCACTCCAGCCTGGGTGAAAGGATCAAGACGTCGTCTCAAAAAAAAAAAAAAAAAAAAAAGGAGGCTCTCCCGGCTGCCTACCTCCTGCCTTGGGTTCCCCCTGAGGCCCACCAGGACCCGGGTTGTCCGGCTTGAAAGCTGCGTGGCCTTGGACAAGCCTCAGGACCTCCCTGGACTTCCCAAATCCCTGCGGAAAGATGAGTCACCACCTCCGTGTAACCCTGAGCCACCGTCGGGCCCATCACAGAGAAGCCACCGGGCCTCCCGGCAAAAGCCAAGTGAGTCAGTGGGGACACGTGAATTTCCCACCGTGTGACTGGCACGACCCAGGTCACCCCGGGAGGTGGTCCGAGGAAGCTCCGCTGTCTCCTCCCGGGACCCGCCTGGGCACTGCCCTTCTCCCTCACCGAACCTCAACCTGCCTCAGCGCCCCCAACCCAGGGTGCGCCCCAACCCCTCCAGCATGGCCCAGGTTCATCCCAGGCTTGTGGGGTTGGGGGGAGGACTCATGGGACCAGATCTTGCCTGTGCCTGGGGCCCCCCAGCCTCAGGTTTCTCATCCACAAAATGGGGTCGGGCTGGGTATGGGGGCTCACACCTGTCATCCCAACACTTTGGCAGGCTGAGGCGGGAGGATCACTTGAGGTCAGAAGCTGGAGACCAGCCTGGCCAACATGGTGAAACGCTGTTTCTACTAAAAATAGAAAAGTTAGCCAGGCGTGGTGGCGCATGTCTATAGTTCCAGCTATTTGGGAGGCAGAGGCAGGAGAAGTACTTGAACCTGGGAGGCGGAGGTTGCAGTGAGCCGAGATCGTGCCAGTGCACTCCAGCCTGGGACACAGAGTGGGACTCTTGTCTCAAAAAGAAATAAATAAAATGGGATCAGGCTGGGAGTGGTGGCTCATGCCTATAATCCCAACACTGGGAGGCCGCAGCAAGGAGGATCACTTGAGGCCAGGAGTTCGAGACCAGCCTGGGCAATGTAGCAAGACCCTGCCTCTACAAAAAAAAAAAAAAAAAGATGACGACGATGAAGAAAAGCACAGTGACACAAGCCTGTGGTTCCAACTACTCGGGACACTGAGGCGGGAGAATTAGGAGGTGAGACTGCAGTGCCCCAAGGTCGCACCCCTGCACTCCAGCCTGGGCCACACAGCAAGGCCCTGTCTCTAAAAACAAACAACAGAATTTCACAGTGGCGTGTCCGCCCCCGGCCTGAGTGAACTCTCTGCTGTCCATCTCTGCCTCCCTCTCCGAGTGTCTCTGTCTCGCTCTCACTTTTACTCTCCCGTCCAGGTTCTGAAAGCAGGTGGGGTGAGATGAAGGGAGTGGAGGGTGGGTCCTCGGAGGTCCCCAGGGGCCGGCGGGGCTGGGCGGGGTGGGGAGCGGGGAGCGGGGATCGCCGCAGACCACGGTTCTGCAGAGGCCAAAATAGCACGAAAGGGAAGTGGGCACTTTTCATATGAACAAAGATTGCGCAGAGCCGGCTTCGGGGAAGCTCTCGGGGCTGGGCTGGAGGAGGTACAGGGTCTGGGCCTCCCTCCCGGAAGGCCGCTCCGAGACCACCGTGCTCATCCTCCCAGCGGTTGGGGGCACGGGGGCGGGGGCGGGGCAGCCTGGCTTGAAGCCCTGGACGGCTTTAACCACTGGGCTCTTCTCTGGGGTCTGTTTTTTCTGTCGTCGTTTAGTTTTTCATTGTATTGAGTTTTTTTGGTTTTGTTTTTAAGAGATGGGGGTCTCACTGTGTTGCCCAGGCTGGTCTCCAGCTCCTGACCTCAAGTGATCCTCCCACCTCGGCCTCCCAACGTGCTGGGATGACAGGTATGAGTCACTGTGCCCGGCTGGTCCTGCTGCTTTTTTCAAATAACTTTGGGCTTCAAATGAGGCTGGCTGGGGGAAGAGAGAGGGGCAGGTGAGGCAGGGGCCTGAGCAGCCCTGGTCCCAGGGGCAGAGCTGAGGGCCAGCTAGGTGGCCGGGTGGGGAGGCGGGGGAGGGGGTCTCCACCCGAGCTGGAGTGGGACCCGGGCCCTGGCCTGCAATCTCACCATTTTCCCCTGGCCTGTGTGGGGGTAACAGTTCCATTTCGCGGATGAGGAAACTGAGGCTCCTGCGCCAGGCCAGCCACTGCTTTGGCCCTCACCTGCCCTCAGTCTCGGACAGTGAGGGGACTGCCGTGGGATGTCCCAAGGCTGTGCAGGCTGGACAGGCGAAGCCGAGGGCAGGAGAGTGGCCAGAACCCCAGAAACAAGCTGACCCCTGAAATGCTGCAGGGTCTGGTGCCAGGGTGGGAGTGGGGGCCTCGGGAGGGGGCGCTAGGCATCCAGGCCTCCTCCTGCCCCGCCCAGTGGGGCCAGGTACCCCTGGGGGATCGGGGACAGCCTGAGGACCCAGGCACCCCTGGGACAGGCTTACCTGAGAGTCCAGGGCTCCTCACCGCGGCCGCCCCATCCTGAGCCCGCACACCTGCTCCAGCCGATGCCAACACCGCCAGCACTGGCGGGCGGGCGGACAGGGCGGGGTTTCTGCCAGCCACTGAATCATCCGCACATCCGCTGCTCTGCCGGACAGGCTCAGCTACGAACGGGGTGGGGGAAGGTGGGGGGAAGCGGGCCAGAGAGGAGAGGGGGAGAGGCGGACAGAGAGAGAGAGAGAGAAGAGACAGAGAAAAGAGAGAAAGAGGGTGGAGTGGGGGGAAGAGGTGGGGTGAGAGAGAGACAGGGAGGGAGGGACCGAGAGAGGACAGAGAAACAAAGTGAGAGAGAGAACGAGACGATAAGAGATAGGGCCGGGCGCGGTGGCTCAAGCCTGTAATCCCAGAACTTGGAGAGGCTGAGCGGGGCAGATCACCTGAGGTCAGGAGTTCAAGACCAGCCTGGCCAACACGGTGAAACCTGGTCTCTAGTAAAAACATAAAATGAGCCGGGCGCGGTGGCACGCACCTGTAATCCCAGCTACTCAGGAGGGAACTGGGAGGCTGAGGTTGCAGTGAGCTGAGATCACGCCACGGCATTCCAGCCTGGGTGACAAGAGTGAAACTCTCAAGAAAAAACAAAAACAAGAGACAGAGCAGAGAGACACAAGAGAACAGGAAAATATGGACACACACTAACACACACACAAACACAGAAAGTCACACAGAGAGGAGGAGAGACACACTTCAACAGACAGGAAGCAAGAGACTGAAAGTGAGGTGCTTTTGCAGATGGCAGACACGGAGACACACACACTGAAAAGACACACACTAGGCCGGGCGCGTTGGCTCATGCCTGTAATCCCAGCATTTTGGGAGGCCAAGGTAGGCGGATCACCTGAGGTTAGCAGTTCGAGACCAGCTTTACAAATGTGGTGAAACCCCTCTACTAAAAATACAAAAAGAATTAGCTGGGCGTGGTTGGGTGAACCTGTAGTCACAGCTACTCGGGAGGCTGAGGCAGGAGAATCACTTGTGCCCAGGAAGTGGAGGTTGCAGTGAGCTGAGATCACGCCACTGCACTCCAGCCTGCGCAACAGAGTGAGACTCCATCTCAAAAACAAAACAAAACAAACCAACAATCTTCTTAAAATAATATATATATATATATATATATATATATTTTTTTTTTTTTTTTTGAGGTGGAGTTTCACTCTTGTTACCCAGGCTGGAGTGCAATGGCGCGACCTCGGCTCACCGCAACCTCCGCCTCCTGGGTTCAAGCAATTCTCCTGCCTCAGCCTCCTGAGTAGCTGGGATTACAGGCACGTGCCACCATGCCCAGCTAATTTTTTGTATTTTTAGTAGAGACGGGGTTTCACCATGTTGACCGGGATGGTCTCGATCTCTCGACCTCGTGATCCACCCGCCTCAGCCTCCCAAAGTGCTGGGATTACAAGCTTGAGCCACCACGCCCAGCTTATATATATATATTTTTTGAGACAGAATTTCACTCTTGTTACCCAGGCTGGAGTGCAATGGCGCGATCTCGGCTCACCGCAACCTCCGCCACCTGGGTTCAGGCAATTCTCCTGCCTCAGCCTCCTGAGTAGCTGGGATTACAGGCACGTGCCACCATGCCCAGCTAATTTTTTGTATTTTTAGTAGAGACGGTGTTTTACCATGTTGACCAGGATGGTCTCGATCTCTTGACCTCGTGATCCACCCGCCTCGGCCTCCCAAAGTGCTGGGATTACAGGCGTGAGCCACCGCGCCCGGCAAAATAATAATAATAAATACCTCGATGGCCTTGGGCAGCTGTTCAATGGTCAGTAGCGCAAGGCAGTCCACCAACTTTCGGGATGTGGCTTCATTGACCTCAGGTGACAGGGCATCCTGGGCTCCGCAGGGGACCCTCTCATTCCGTTCTCACGTCTGTGTGAACAGCAGCCACGACATCCGCCCCAGGGCTGGACACGGGGACGGCGCTGGGCAGGAGTGGGCTGTGGTCCCTCTGCCTGTGCTGTCAGCCTGTTCTCCACGCCCCTTCTCGCCGGGAGCCTCATCTGTGCAGTGGGGTGATGAGACCCCCCAGGCTGGGGAGGAGCGGGGCTGTCCTGCCTCCTCCCAGCCTGCAGCTCCCTCTCTGTCCACTCCTCCACCTGTCTCTGCCCTGACCTTGCAGTCTCTGTGGGGCTCTCTCTGTCCCTGCCCCGCCCACCTGTGTCCCGAGTCCTTTGCCTGTGTGTCTGTTTTGCCCTCTGGGACTCTTGCTGTCTGACACCTGACGCTCTTTCTCTATTCTCTGTCCGCTTTTTTTTTTTTTTTTTTGAGATAGGGTCTCACTTGGTCCAGAGCTAAAGCTGGATTTGAACCCAGACGCCAAAGCCTGGCTTCCTCACTGGGACCCTCTGCCTGGCTCCTCTTCACAGAATGAGAACAAGCCTGCCTCAGTTTCCCTCCAGCCCCAGACTATGCACCTGGACTGGGGTTACCTGTTGTCTTTTTTTTTTTTTTTTGAGATGGGGTCTCACCCGGTCACTCAGGCTGGAGTGCAGTGGTGTGATCTTGGCTCACTGAAACCTCCACCTCCCAGGCTCAAACGATCCTCCCACCTCAGCCTCCAGCATTCGCTGGAACCCCAGGCGTGTGCCACCACGTAATTTTTGTATTTTTTGTAGAGACAGGGTCTCACTATGTTGCCCAGGCTCATCTTGAACTCCTGGCCTTAAGCTGTCCTCCTGCCTCAGCCTTCTAAAGTGCTGGAGTTACAGGCGTGAGCCACTGCGCCGGCTCCCACGGAACCCACTGTGTGTCCCACCTGCTGGTGACACCAGGGAAGAGCATGGCAGTCCCCTGACTCCTATAAGTCTGGCATTTCAGAACCTGGGCCCCCAGTCCTGGACCCCTCTATGCCTGGGTCCCTGCTCTGAGGTCCCACTCTTACCTTGGGACTGGATTTGGCCGGTGTACGGGACGTGGCCACGGAGATGGGTGGCTGGGCCCGCTGCTGCCACCTCGTGGACAAGGAGGGTAGCACATGCTCCAGGGGGATTCGGGACCACGCTTTCTTCCCGCGGTAGAAAGGGAACAAGCCTGCCTCAGTTTCCCTCCAGCCCCAGACTATGCACTCGGACAGGGGTTACCTGCTTTTTTTTTTTTTAGATGGGGTCTTGCAAGAATAAATTTTTAAAAAATACAAAAAAAAAGAAAAAAGAAAAAAAGAAAAAATAGATGGGGTCTTTCTTGGTTGCCCAGGCTGGAGTGCAGTGGGGGCAATCTCGGCTCACTGAAACCTCTGCCTCCCGGGTTCAAGCGATTCTCCTGCCTCAGTCTGAGTAGCTGGGATTACAGGTACCTGCCACTGTGCCTGGCTAATTTTTTATACTTTTAGTAGAGACCAGGTTTCACCATCTTGGCCGGGCTGGTTTCAAACTCCTGGATTCAAGTGGTCTACCTGCCTCGCCCTCCCAAAGTGCTGAGATTACACTGCTCCCAGTCTGTTCTGTTTTTTGTTTGTTTGTTCGAGACAGGGTCTTGCCCTGGAGTGCAGTGGTAAGATCATAGCTCACTGCAGCCTTGATCTTCTGTGCTTAAGTGATCCTTCCATCTCTACCTCACTTGTAGGTGGGACCACAGGCACACGCCACCATGCCTGACTCATTTTAAAACTTTGCAGTGATGGGGCCTCACTATGTTGCTCAGGCTGATCTTGAACTCCTGGGCTCAAGTGATCCTCCTGCCTTAGCCTCCCAAAGTGCTGGGATTACAGGTGTGAGCCATTGTACCCTCTCCACCCGCGCTGTTCTCACTCCCTGCTTCCTTAGCGGGCCTGGGCACTGGTAGATGCTGGAGGGGAATGGTCTGTGAATGGGCCTCGTATGCGGCTGGGTGTGGTAGCTCACCTGTAATTCCAACACTTTGGGAGACCGAGGCGGGTGGATTACCTGAGTCAGGAGTTCGAGATAAGCGTGAGCTGCAGGGTGAAACCTTGACTCTACTAAAAATACCAAAACTAGCCAGTTGTGGTGGCGCAGGCCTGTAATCCCAGCTACTCAGGAGGCTGAGGCAGAAGAATCACTTGAACCAGAGAGGCAGAGGTTGTAGTGAGCTGAGATCGCGCCACTGCACTCCAGCCTGGGCAATGAGCAAAACTCTGTCTCAAAAAAAAAAAAAAAAAAAAAAGGGGGCCTCACATGCAAAACGACCTTACAGATAGAGTGTGGTGTTTGGTTTTTGGAGATGGAGTCTCACTCTGTCACTCAGGCTGGAGTGCATTGGTGTGATCTTGGCTCACTGAAGCCTCCACCTCCCGGGTTCCAGTAATTCTCTCTCAGGCTCCCTAGTAGCTGGGATCACAGGAACCTGCCACCACGCCCAGCTAATATTTGTATATTTAGCACAGATGGGGTTTCATCATGTTGGCCAGGCTGGTCTTGAACTCCTGACCTCAAGCAATCCACCTGCCTCAGTTTCCCACAGTGTTGGGATTACAGGTGTGAGCCACCATGCCCAGCCAAGAAGTGTGGTCTTGCGCAGCTGGGAGACGAGGTCTCTGCACTGTCGTCCTTCAGATCCAGGACTTGCCTGTCATAGGGAAAAGGGAGGCATGTTCCAGCAAGACAATGAGAGGCAGCTCTCCAGAACCAGCAAGAACGCTGTATCCATCACAGTCTATAACTTGGGTGATAACATCAAGGCTGGCATGCTCTGGGCATCCCCTGAGGGTGGCTTACACCTGTAATCCCAGCATTTTGGGAGGCTGAGCCAGGAGGATCGAGCCTGGCCTGGTCAACATGGCAAGACCTGGTCTCTACAAAAATACTGTAAAAATTAGCCAGGGCCGGGCACAGTGGCTCACACCTGTAATCCCAGCACTTTGGGAAACTGAGGTGGGTGGATCACCTGAGGTCAGGAGTTTGAGTCCAGCCTGGGCAACACGGTGAAACGCCATCTCTACTAAAAATAGAAAAATTCTCTTGGCATGGGTGGTACATGCCTGTACTCCCAGCTACTCAGGAGGCTGAGGCAGGAGAATTGCATGAACTCAGGAGGTGGAGGTTGCAATGAGCCGGGATCGCGCCATTGCACT